CATATTTAATCCCAGAAACTATAAGAGCTACTCACACCATCCTATCTACGTATACGTAGTTTGAAATATGAAAAAAAAATCAATTTAAATTCCATGGATAAAGTTGAAATTAATTGTCTAGGCGATGATATTGTACCATTTTTTTCAGAAGCACGTTTGACTGGACAAAAAAAAAGACTGATGCTTCAAAAGAATATTGGTTGGGAGTTACTGATCGAGGGAAAAAAAGAAGTTAAAAAAAAGAAATTCTTAGGAACTGCGAAAGATAGTATAGTTCTCCCGCCTAACTACAAATCAATTTTCAAAATTAAAATATTTGAATGATTTTCATTTTTATCTAGATATAGATAATTTTATCATACATAACTTCATTGGGAAAACAAAGAGAGTGAACTCTACAGTTTTGTAAAACTCCCTTTGTCAAAATGGCACAAAGTAATATTGAAAATATAAAGTTCCTTAAATCCTTTTTAATATGTGAGGCAAATAAAATCAAACATATATAATTGATAAGATACAATATTTTAGATGTAAACTCCATACGAAAAAGTAAAAAAAAAATTGTCGTTTTTTGTCTGTAAACATACAAGCCCCCCCCCCCCATGAATTTGGTATGAATTTGTGAAGAAAAAAAATCCATATTACCCGTAAAAAGGAATTTTTGTTTCATGGGCCGGAGGAATGGGGGTGGGGTGGAGGTTAAAATATTTTCCGTTTTCCAATGATTTCTGTAGTGAAAATCACAACACTTGTTAGAATGACCATCATACGTATAACCATGATACATGTTTTTATTTTGGGAGGGGTTGGTTCTTGGGGGAATCGCACCCTTTAATTGTTACACAAAGTAGGATGTAGGACTTTCCCGGAAAACTTACTCAAAAGAGGAAATCCTTCTCTAGAGTCATTATTTTCCGCTGAGGAAATCGATCTGCTAGTTCAAGTCTTCAAAGGGGGGGGGGGGGGGGCTAAAGGAGAGAAAGCCTACTCTACAACACTGGTAATTGTCAACATTTTTGGGGGTACACTGAGCAGCTGAGGGTTTTAACATACCAAATTCTTCTAAACCAATTCTAAATATTCTTATGCCCTCGTAATAGAAGATTCGGGATTAAATATTTTTTGCCCTGTCCGTCCTTATGTCTGATTGTTTGTTACTCAAAAACACCAACCTTCTCTATAACTTTTGAATGAGTGGGGCTATGGCTTTATACATATTTCACAGGTGTATTCCTTATGATAAGATCTTTCTTTGGGTACCACCAAATTTGACCTCTTGACCTTGGAGTTTGAGCCACTTTTACAGACAAATACCAAGTATTAACTTTGACCATAACTTTTGAATAGTTGTTGGTAGCGCTTTCATACTTCATATGTATATTCATTGTAACAACAAGACCTTTCAATGGGTATAAATATTTTTGACCTTGACCTTAGGGTTTAAACCCACTTTTTAAAAAACCTTAACCTTGGCCATAAGTTTTGAACACTTGGTTCTAGCGTAGGCTTCCATATTTCATAGGGTTATTCCTTACGACAAGACCTTCCTTTGGATATACCAAAAAAATTTATCTTTTGACCTTGACCTTGGAGTTTGACTTCCATTTGAGAAACTTCAAACCTTGTTATAAGTTGTCATATATACGGAAAATCAGTGTTCGAACACACGTCTTATTTTCTTATATCTTTCATCTAAATATATACTCTTTGGGTTTCGTATTTCTCAAGGAAAATAGGCCTAATGTAACAGGCTAACAAAATATAAAAAATAATTTTCACTTTTTAACAGCTTAACCCAAAATTTGAAAATTCAGATATTTGGGTCATCATTTTCAAGAGAATAATTTATGGTTGATGGAATTAAAGGTCGGGGCCTGAAAAGGTTCTATGAAGCACAATAAGTCTGCGTCTTTTGTAGATTCTTTTATAATTGCAAATGACAAGGGTGAAGATTTTCAATAAACAAAATAATAAAACATCCCTCTGGATTATTCCATTATTAACTTTGATGTAGATGGTTTGTTATATAAATGAATATACAATATAGAAATGTCTCTAATGGAATAGTAATAACACAGCTATGTAATGAAGTACGCAAATATAGTATACTTTAAATTTTATCGTTTAATTTTAATAAAACGCACGTGAGCAGAGGAAAGCAAATCAGCTGATTGACAAACATTTTATGACAAAAAAAAAAAAAAAGAAAAATTAACAAAAATCAACGAAAATGCTAAGTTTTTTTCTTATCAGAGACCAACTGCATACTAATACCATTTTTTGAAAAAGCCGTAGTGGTCCACCCCCCCCCCCCCCCCCTCTCTCTCTCTCTCTGGCTCGATCGATCGAAAATTTTGTTAGATATATTCTGCAACTGTACAATTTAATTGCTGTGTAAAAAAGAGCACAGAAGTTTTTTTATTATGATATTTTTCAGCATCTGTGTTTTAAAGTTGAAAATTAAGCGTACATAATAAATATTTAGAGTTTCAGTTATTTAACAATTTATAAGCATGATGAGTTTAGATAATTGATCCACAATGCCAAGCTTAATTGTTTATACGTGTACTTTATGTGCATAGGTGTGGGAACTGATTTTATAACCCGGTATTATTATAAAAAATGCCCGTGGTGTATAATCGAGCTACACGCGTAACCAGTCACATGCTGGGATACAATAACGCTCGCCAGACAGGTGTGACTCAGTAGAACTTACCTGGCTTTATTAACAATTAATTTAAGTGCATAGTCTTTGATGTGGACAGTATATTTGGTACGGGAAAAATACAGCTCACAGCACGCCACCAGTCGTGTTCGCACATCTGGGAGTAGATTTCCTGTTTGTTGTCAGTAGTGGGACCCCGGGTGTCCGTAGATAACTTAGATATTTACTGCTATATATAACCAGTCATAAATTTAGAACTTACAATTATATGTGATACAATATACAGGGTGTTTCATAATATATGTTACATTTTGAGTCTTGAATCTGACAGACAAAACAAAAAGATACAGATAAGTCTTTTTATCAAACTGATGCACATATCCATAAGATTCATAATATTCAATTACCATCTAAAATGTTAAACACTGAACAAAATCTTAAACATTCATGAAAATTATCAAAATTTCCAAGTTGTGCCATTTTTGCTACGTTGAATTTCACAACGTCAAAAGTTCACATTACATGTTCCAAATGATCTGCATTAATTCAATAACAAATGAAGTTGCTTCTTGAAATTTGTATATAACCTTGTCACATATTTGTGCATAGACACTCATTTGAAGGTCCATAATCTGTTTAGCTCACTCAATATCTGTGGTCTAGGATTGTAGACCCTGTTCCTTAAGAACCCGTCAGAAAAGAGCCCAAAAATTGAGACTGTCGAATGCAGAGGTCAAACTCTTTCCTTTCATTAATTATTGACAATTTGTATGCTGATTACTTCAAATCATATTAAAAAGTTCATTATATGCTGAAAATGCGGATATTGCCAAAATGTATTTCTGCAAATATCTATCAGACACTTTTTTCAGAAGTTTGCTACACTAAGAGTCTCGACTTTACCCATAAAATCCCCCCTTCTTAAAATCTTTGGCTTTCTGGAATACTGTGTCATTTATCGCATACTGTCCGTCCCTGTCCTTTAACCTTGTTACATGTACTACCCTTCTGATAAGCATCAGAGAAAGCTTCTTTTTTTAGAAATATATTTCATGATTTTGTGAATGAATGGAATGAATATTGGCGACATGATTTGAAAAAAAAAACAACTTTACTATTCAGCACTGAGTGTATAAGTATATATTCAAATTATGACATAGGCTTTTATAGCACAATTAATCATTGCAAGGCCATGATTTCCTTGACTTTTTCACATGGATAAAAAATGCAGGATTCGATGTTTAAAATGATATAAATGTTGTAATAGAAATATGTCAGGTAAGAAAAATAATTAGGTCTCAAAATGTAACATATATTATGAAACACCCTGTACACATTGTATTGACATATACTCCATGTGATTATTGTAGATAATCTTACAATTCATGCATGTAATCCAATCTTAATTTTTTTTATAACATGTATAATGTAGTTCAAAATGCATTTATATAGGAAATTAAGAGGAGCATAATAAATGAATTAATGATTCTGAAATAAGTTGGAATACTAGTATAAGATATGTAAGCAACCGGGAGGAAAAACCATATTCATTTCTGATTATTCATATTTATTCGGTTCTTTAGGAACTGTACAATAATTTTGCCGGTGTACATGCATGCCTACTTCACAATGGCAAAAATTAATGTCTTTTGACTTATTTTAAACTACCCCCCCCCCCTCTCCAACTAAAAATATATAATCCTATACATGTTATAGTGAAGTGAAGTGATCCATTTGAAGCGGATTAAGCGAGTGATAGAGATGGGGTGTATGGTGTATATGATTCAAACCATGAACTTCTATTTACAATTAACTTCCTACATTGATACTTATATACATTTGTATAGGCATTGCAATCTCTTGCTTGTTGGTCTAAATGGAGGGTGGATAAGAGGGGAGGGGTAAGCAGAGTTCCAAATAACACCTATAACATCTTAATTTTAGCTTAGTAACAAATTCATTTTACAAGGAGAAGTCACACTAAAAATATATTTTACATTTTCAGAATTTACTCCGTTAAAAACTGGGTGGGGTGCCTTTAAACTTTATAAAAGTATGTACAAAGATATTTTCATGATAGCAGTTTTAATCTCAATCCTTAACTTTGCAAAATGTTACAATCAACTGAATTTTTTGCTTTTTATATTCAAAACCTACATAATTTGGTTCGGGATCGATAGTTTAAATGTTCTTCGATAATCTCTAACCTTTTATTAACGCTCTATGATAAAGTCCGAGTCGAAATATTCCGAACATAAACCTTGTGTATCATGTGACCATAAAATGCTAAGTTGTGATTGGTCAATTTAACCTAGCGGGGAATTTAACGAGCTTGCCTCGCTTTAAGTTCATTTCACACTCAGCTGTAAACCAAAGAGCAGTTCAAATACATTTTGGGACTTGCACGAAGAATCAGCTTTGCACGGTTTTTCGCCGTCTTTACACCACAGCAAAGACTTGCGTCAATGCAACTTTGTTTCTTTCGCTAGATTTGAGAAGTATAAACCATATTTCTCCTTTTCGCTTAAACAATAGCTGCAGTGATGTCTTCGTTTGTATTTGGAAATAACGTCAACCGAGAAGATACAGAAAATCTTGGACCAAGGCGTGTAAAACAAGTGAACACTGGTCTGACTACGAGAAATGCACCGAAAAGGGCAGCACTTGGAAGTATATCAAACAATATACGGGTTCAGCCATCCAGGGCAGCAAAGGTATGTTTGAAAATTCAAAAATTTGAATCCTTTTCTCATAAAAAAACAAAAGGGTGACCAGAATCATAATTTGCAAAACATTCATTTTGTACATGCATAACTTTGCAGCAAAGGTAGGAAAATTAAAAAAATTTGAATCCTTTCTCCCGAAAAAACAAAAGGGTGACCAGAATATCATAATTTGTAAAACCATCCAAAAAAATGTCTCAGAAACTATAATAGGTCAATTTGAATGCCAATAAGAAAATTAAAGATTTCATGCTCTAATTTTTTTTGTTTGATAGACTGGAGTAGAAAATGTAGGTCAAGATGAAAACGCATTTGTAAAGTCAGCAAAAATATTTGGAGGCCAAGAGAACAAGCCATTTTCAATCTTTGTGGAAGAGCAGCCAGCCAGACAACCACTGAAGGCAGTGACCCGGTCCACAAATGTGACGAAGCCTGCCGCCACACTCTGTGACATCACATCATTGGTTCGACCTCCACTGGGACCCATCTCAACAGCCACAGAAGATGGGGCAGTGTGCCAGGATGTGGAATTTGGTAAAAAATAAACCACAGCATTGTTTATGAAAAAGACATATTCTGAGCTTTAGCTAGGCGATAGATAAATTTAATCATATAAAAATGTTGCTTCACTATCTTATCATTTTCACTGAGTTTTTGTTATTCATACACAAGTTTTATCAGGTTAAAAATGTTGCCAAACTATATTTTCAGATTCACCAATGGTTTTGGATTCCACAATAGAAGAAATTGAAGAGACAAGACCTCTTGACAGAGAATCCATTATCACCACTGTCCCAGAGTACGCTAAAGAAATCTATTCCTATCTCAGAGAGGCAGAGGTTTGTTGAAAAATAAAAATAATAATGAACCATCCAATTTTATTCAAAGTAAATAGAGGATATTGATTTTGAAAAAGAATATATTGATTTTGAAAGAGAGAATATATGTATTTTAAAGTTTCAGACATGAATTTGCACTGAAGTCAAGGCCATCATGACTTAACTTAATCTTGACGCTTTATCCTGTTAACTCTCTTTAGAAAACAACCATTTCATTGTAAACGTGTACAGTAATTTGCATTATGTTCAATAAAGCTGAAGAACCGGCCTAAGCCTGGGTACATGAAGAAACAGCAGGACATCACTAACTCGATGCGCAGCATTCTGGTGGACTGGATGGTCGAGGTGTCAGAGGAATACAAGCTACACAGAGAGACATTGTTCCTGGCCGTTAATTACATCGACAGGTTCCTCTCCCAGATGTCTGTACAGCGAAGCAAACTCCAGCTTGTGGGGGCCGCCAGCATGTTCCTAGCATCGTAAGTTTGTCAGCAGAACACGAGTGTAGATTTCTCTATTCACTGTGAAATCACAAATTTTCGTGGGGGTTTAATTTTCGTTGTTTTCGAGGTACAACGAGACCCACGAATTCATGACCACCACGAAATGTAAAATGTTACATACATAAGTACTCCTTAATTCTTGATCCTCAAAATCAAATCCCCACAAACCAAGAGATTTTCCTCAAACCACGAAAAATTGACTCCACGAAAATATGTGATTTTACAGTATTTATTTCATAGCTATGAACCCAGGTTCATCGACAAGTTTTTGATTGTTTTTCTATTATTTGTAGGAAGTATGAGGAAATCTACCCCCCAGATGTTGGAGAGTTTTCTTATATCACAGATGACACATACACCAAGAAACAGGTACGGTTTATTACAGGGATTTTTTTACCCTTTGATTCCAGGGGCCAGGACCGTCAAGATTGGGAAAAATAGTGATATTTGGTTGAAATTGGGAAAAATATCTTCATATAAATAAAAAGGAAAAAACAAGCAAAATTCAACTATTTCATCTTTTTTCTTATCTTTTATTGTGTGAAACTGGCTTCAATCAGCTTTACTGATATGAAATAATAGCGGCTGATGAAGTTCAGAAGCATAAGAATGGCAAAGCCACAGAGTATGATAAAATTGTAAATGAACATATTTATACGTTGTCATCTTTTTTACCTTTATTTAAGAAGTTTGTTAAAAATAAAATTTGATGGTAGGTTTGTTCCTGATGAGTGATTGATCGGTACTGATTGACCAGTTTATAAGAATAAGACTGAAGAGCGATTCAACCCAGCTTGAAAATTACCGTCCGAGGCAAACTGGAGAGACTGCCATGATGCACATTAATTTATCAAATAACGATCCCGATTTTAATTTTTCAACATCGATCCCGCTTAAAAACATCTGTAGTATTCCGAATGACTTCTCGGATGGCTGGTAATTTGCACATAGGGAACATAACACCTGTTTTTCATTATTTTATTTTAATAATTTACAACTTAATACTTTTTTTTCATATTGGGAATTTCTAGGTATAATTTTGGGAAAAACATGCACTTTTCAGCATTGGGAATGGGGCCAAATTTCGGCCCCAGAGAGACCCTAAAAAAATCCCTGTATTAAATATCAGAATGTACTGCAATCAATGCACAGGAAGTAGCTAATTGCCTAAAAGAAGCTTATAGTGAAAATATAGTTTTCTATATCAGTTCTCTTTATTTAAATGAAAGTTGATCACTGAAAAGACATCCAAACTAGATTATTGTAAATCTCTCTGTATTATGACAGGTGTTGAGGATGGAGAGCCTGGTTCTGAAGGTCCTGTCCTTTGATGTGGCTGTACCCACCACCAACTGGTTCTGTGACAACCTACTGAAGGAATGCCAGGCTGACGAAAAGACAAGGGCTCTGGCCATGGTGAGAGTTTGAATAGACAGATATTTATAAAAGAAACTTGTTTTTGATAATGCCATTTTGGAGGGAAGTGCAAAGGTTTTTCTTTTAAGGTCAAGATCTAGTAAATAACTTCAGACTAATTTTTTAGTGCTAGATCCATTATGACGTCATAGTCAATCTCAACTTTCTTTTTCCCGTACTTTACATCTTTAGCAGAATTATGTAGAAAATGGGGTATTTTCAGGTCATTCAAGTTGAAATCATATGAAACGTAAACCGGATACCTATATTAAATTTGAGATTGATTTAAAGAAGAGGCCATGAACATACTAATTACCGTTTTCTGAGAGACTGTAGGCAATCTGGATACTTTTCCTTTGCCGAATACGAAAAAAACTCCCATATTTATGACTGGTTTTCTTAATTTTTCATTGAAAATGACAGTTTAAAATACAGTTTTTCATCTTGTTTACCTACAAATTATGCCCCGAAACACCTTATTTGACCAAGCTAAAGTTGTAAAGCATCAATAAAGGAATTTATTTCTCAAGTTTGATAAATCTGTAGGCACCTTTCATTTACTAGATCTTGACCTTAATTTGAATTTTTCAGTTTTTGGCGGAGTTGACCATGGTAGATGCTGACATTTACCTGAAGTACCTGCCCAGTGTGATCGCGTCATCAGCTGTGTTCCTGGCCAGGTACGCCCTGGGACAGGAGGCCTGGGTAAGTCTATCACTCAGATAACTTTCCTACTTGGTATACGAGACTATTGTAATAAATTGAAATTTTGGAAAATGCAAAATTTTCATGTCTAACTTGTAAAATTTTTGTAAAAAAAGCATTAACATTAACTCAAATTTAATTGTTCTACCTTTCCAAACAAAATACTTTGGAATGTACAATACACTGTAAAATGAAATATTTTAAATGTTTTTTATTTTTTAAATTTATTTTTGTACAGCCTGCCAGCCTATCTCAATCTTCCCAGTATGAAGTTAATCAGTTTGCCAGCTGTTTGACAGAACTTCACCAGACCTACTGTAATGCACACAAACATCCCCAGCAAGCCCTGGTAGAAAAATACAAAACCTCCAAGTAAGTAATCCCGCAATCTAAATTATTTTTTCTGTATAGTAAAAAAATATACTTTTACGATATTGGCAGCCCAGTTCATCTTTATCATGTTAATGAATACTCTTATTAAATTGAAAAATTATGAAAATTTGTTGAAAACTTTCAAAATGTATAGTGTATTTGTAAACATCTTTAAACATATGTTACAAATAGAGTAGAAATGATTTATATGTTTCTGATTTATCATTCTTGTCTTCCATTTCCCAGGTTCCACGAGGTGTCAGACTTCCAGAAGCACCCTCCTCCCTCATCTTTGCCCTTCATGTCATAAAGAAAATTCCACGGCCATACCAAAGGTCTTTCAAAATTGAAGCTATCATCAAGTAGTGTTACAATGAGAGGACCTGGGAAGATGGACTGATTCCAGAACAGGGCGGCTTTACTGTTCAGTGTTAGTCATCACGTACTGCACAGCTAGTGTTACCAGCATTTATTCTGACAGACGATTTCTTGGAATGAGCACCTGCTTTTTAACCATTGTGTGAATGTTGATTATTGAAAAGTCACCTGTTTTTAAAATGTTTAGCTTTAACTTTGGTAACATTAACTCTCCAGTACGTGGGAAACAAACCTAAAAGTAACTACAGCAAAGTAATTCCGCGTTAGTGCTTCACTGAATCCTCTACAGACTGAGGCCGCCCTGTGTCAGAGATTCCCAGTAACTCGGTGCAATAGTCAGGCAGCAGCATTCACTTGTGTAAATGTCCCAAACCAAAACTAGACGCTTATTTTAGTGTGAGAGATAAACTGCAACGGCTGAACGTGAAAACATTTTTATCATTGTAAATATTTCCTGAATTATTTCATGCATGTTGAATTTTTATGTGACATTAATTTATTTTGAATCCTCAGCAACCTTTGATGTTTTATTTAAGACTTTCACATCTTTTTACCTGTTCTCAATTCTTAATCTGTCTTCTCTTTTTTTTGTTTTATTCGTTTAAGTTTTATAAATCTTGCAGGAAATTCGTTAAAGGTTGTTGTGTAAATGCAATCATTGTTTTAAATTGCAAGGATTTTTATGCATATATCATGATTTATATTAAATGACCACTCATGAAATGAAGCATATTCAATAATACAGCGTGTTTACTTGTTTTTATGGTGTTGGTAGTAGAAAATAGTTTCTGTGAAATAATTTACACAGAAGTGTTTTAAATTCTTTGATTTTATACCTTTGTAATGAAATTGAAATAAATTGAAATTTTTTTTAACTAGTACGCTTTATTGGACATTAGAAATAAGTCGTGATACGATACGAGTTTATATCTTTTTTCTGGATTGTTTGTATGATGGTTTACTTCTTTGTCCTAAAGTTCAAAATAATTTGACAGGTGTCTGAGGTGTATGTAAATTGTCCACAGCTCTGGCACAATGTTTTAAATATTGACACAATTCCTAAAAGGATTTCATCGGCCATATTTGAATTTTTCACTTGCTCGCTATATCTGAGGGTCCCTATAGAGCTTCCCACTTAGTCACTGTGCAGTACAATTTGTCTTCGCCAGTGTAGACAGATGTATTGTCGTTTTACTAACAGCGTGACAGTTTGCTTGATGGGGCGTGCTAAAATTTTGTATGCTGATTATCATTTTTACTCATCAATTGGATGTTTGATTTCAATAGAATCAATAAAACTTTGCATATGAAACACAGAACACAGCAATACCACTGACAATACTGACCAATCGCGTTGAATAAACAACAATTACATGTGAACGGACAAAGCAATTTTTAGCTCTACTGGTCAGAGACCAGAAGAGCTTATGAGATAGTAATGCGTCCGGCGTCCGTCCGTCTGTCTGTAAACAATTTTTCAAAATGCTACTTCTTTTACAGTTTTGATCTGATTTCAATATAACTTGGCACACAAGTAGACTACACTAAGATACATAATTCTGTGTATCGGTTTTTGATTTTGATAAACGGTGTTGCCGTGGTAACTAAAAATAGAAATTTCTGTGAAATTTCTTTAAAATGCTACTCCTCCTACAGTTTTGATCTGATTTCAATATAACTTGGCACACAAGTAGACTACACTAAGATACATAATTCTGTGTATCGGTTTTTGATTTCGATGAACGTTGTTGCCGTGGTTACTAAAAATAGAAATTTCTGTGAAATTCTTTCAAAATGCTACTCCTCCTACAGTTTTGGTCTGATTTCAGTATAACTTGGCACACAAGTAGACTACACTAAGATACATAATTCTGTGTATTGGTTTTTGATTTTGATAAATGGTGTTGCCGTGGTTACTAAAAATAGAAATTTCTGTGAAATTCCTTTAAAATGCTACTCCTCCTACAGTTTTGGTCCGATTTCAATATAACTTAGCACACAAGTAGACTACACTAAGATACATAATTCTCTATATCGGTTTTTGATTTCGATAAACGATGTTGCCGTGGTTACTAAAAATAGAAATTTCTATGAAATTCTTTCAAAATGCTACTCCTCCTACAGTTTTGGTCTGATTTCAATATAACTTGGCACACAAGAAGACTACACTAAGATACATAATTCTGTTTATCAGTTTTTCATTTCGATGAATGTTGTTGCCGTGGTTACTAAAAATAGAAATTTCTGTGAAATTCCTTTAAAATGCTACTCCTCCTACAGTTTTGGTCTGATTTCAATATAACTTTGCACACTAGCAGACTACACTAAGATACAAAATTCTGTGTATCGGTTTTTGATTTCGATGAACGTTGTTGCCCTGGTTACTAAAAATAGAAATTTCTGTGAAATTCCTTTAAATTGCTACTCCACATACAGTTTTGGTCTGATTTCAATATAACTTGGCACACAAGTAGACTACACTAAGATACATAATTTTCTATATCTGTTTTTGATTTCGATGAACGTTGTTGCTGTGGTTACTAAAAATAGTCATTTCTGTGAAATTCTTTGAAAATGCTACTCCTCCTACAGTTTTGGTCTGATTTCAATATAACTTGGCACACAAGTAGACTACACTAAGATACATAATTCTGTTTATCAGCTTTCGATTTCAATAAACGGTTTTGCCGTGGTAACTAAAAATAGAAATTTCTGTGAAATTCCTTTAAAATGCTACTCCTCCTACAGTTTTGGTCTGATTTCAATATAACCTCGCAAACTTGTAGACTACACTAAGAACATAAAGAGACTTTATCAAGGATCATTATTCTATCTATTGCTGTTGTTAAGTTTCAATTCCCAACTGCTGAAGTACTTTTCTCTTCCTTTGCTATAAGTACAAACCAGTAGAGCTTCAGTCTCGACAGAGACTTCTGGTTACTTCTTACATTATGATGATATTGATAGAGCTACGTACATAGTACAACAGAAGCAGAGTAGCCTTACTAATTCCATTCTTTAAATTTTTATGCCCCCCTTCGAAGAAGGGAGGGCATATTGCTTTGCTGCTGTCTGTCGGTCCACTTAGTTTCCGTTCATTTTCTTCGCAACCGTTGTACATACTGATATGAAATTTGGTATACAGATTTATTATATAGTCTATTTATAGTCCCTATATAATCTATACAAACGCAAACAGTTCATAACACTACATATTCACCCGTTTTGAGGCCGTATTCACCGGAGGGTCAATGCGCGTGCAACGGCATTGTGACGTCACAATCAAAATATCAAACAACGTTGTAAACGATGGTTGCAACATCCGCGGCGAGCTACGTATCTGTGCAGAAAGCAATTATTCAAACCTATTTCAGGATTATTTTTTAACAGCTGGACGTCTTACACATAGCGAAACTCGGAAAGGAAAACACGGAGGTTATAAACAGTAATCTGAAGAATTTTTTTATTTTCAACAATGGAAGATCGCAAATGAAAATGGTGTCGTCACACAGCCTTCAATGTCTTATCTATTCAAATCCCGACTATATAATAAAACAATTATGGACTCTTTTGGTGTTGAATATGGTTTGTTATTCACCAGAAAAATATCCATATTGACCTCGGCTTCGCCTCGGTCAATATATTTTTCTGGTGAATAACAAACCATATTCAACACCAAAAGAGTCCATAATTGTATAATATCACATGAATATCTAGGTCGAGTTCTATTATGGGTACGATCGCACCATTTTTGTCAGAGTTATGCCCCCTGAACTTAGAAAAATTTCAATTATTTGCAGTTTCCGTTCATTTTCTTCGCAACAGTTGTACATACTGAAATGAAATTTGGTATACAGATATATCACATGAATATCTAGGTCGAGTTTTGTTTTGGGTACAATCGCACCAATTTTGACAGAGTTATGCCCCCTGAACTTAGAAAAATTTCAATTATTTGCAGTTTCCATTCATTTCCTTTGCAACCGTTGCACATACTGAAATGAAATTTAGCGTACAGATTTATCAGAGGAATATCTAGTTCAAGTTTTGTTTTGGGTACTATTGCACCATTTTTGATAGAGTTATGCCCCTTGAACTTAGAAAAATTCCAATTATTTGAAGTTTCTGTTCATTTTCTTCACAACCGTTGCACATACTGAGATCACATTTAGTGTACAGATTTATCAAATGAATATCTAGATTAAATTAAGTTTTGGGTACTATTGCACCATTTTTGACAGAGTTATGCCCCCTGTGACTAAGAAAAAAATTTCAATTATTTGCAGTTTCCTTACATTTTCTGGAGAGGGACGTTTTACAGTATACAATCAATCAATCAATCTTTGCAGAGGTTGCACATACTAAAATGAAATTTGGTATACAGATTTATCAGATGACTATCTTAGTCAAGTTCTGTTTTGGGTACATGTACAATCACACCATTTTTGACAGAGCTATGCCCTTTTGACTTGGAAAAATTCCAGTTTGGGGGGAGGGGGGCATAAGTGTTTTACAAACATCTCTTGTCTTATATGTATCCAAAAACCCACCTGGTCAAATCACAACAAATATAATACATGCTTTTTTGAGGACAGAAAACAAAACGGGCTTTGACTGACCACGTGTTGCTGGTGACTACAAATGCCGTACTGGTAAACAACCTTTCAATGTGATTGGCCAGTATTATTAGGGGATTGTTGTATTCCGAGTTTCATATGCAAATTAGTATTGATTCCATTGATCCAATCGATGAATAAAAGGATAATCAGCACACAAAGTTTTAGCACGCCCCATCAAGCAAACTGTCATGCTGTTTGTAAAATGATGATACGTTACACAACACTGAACAGATAAAATAAAAATTACTTCTAATGCATAAGAGTAAGATACCTCCGAAACTTACAGAATTTGCACAGTACAGTGCAGTATACAAATACACATAACTGCAATAAAATGTAAAAGGTATCATAGGATGACCAGGATGAACCCTGTTCATCCACTACATGACAAAGCATTCGGGTGTAAATGTGGAGGGTATACAACTAGAAGTTTCTTTGGTATCTTACTTTCCTGCATTGGACAAAGTATAACATTATTGTCACTACGGAGTGCTGTATAGCATATGTCCGTTAATACTGGTGTCAACTTATTTCACTGAACAAAGTTCTGCCCTATATATAGGGTCTGCAGATATAGCCAAAATCCAAACAAATATGGAAAACACATTCCTTTTATGAATCATGGTCAGCTTTTATCTAGCCAATTTTATTTTCCTGCAATTGTAATTTGGGGCTTGTTGGTCAACATTTTAACTCAGAGCGGGGGATTGTCCACACCTTATACGCCCTCTTTGGGGCTAGTTGATCAACAAAAAACAAGGCTGCATCTGATTTGCATTTGGTCCCCCGCTTTCAGTGTCTTAGCGGATGGAATGCCATTATTTATGACAATTATATTTTGTCAGATATGAATTCCCTATCATATGTCATTCAAAAGTAATCACCATAGTTAACATTTTTGTTTAAATTAGGTCAAATATGAAGATCAAGGTCAAGGGATCAAAAATCATTGCAAGCTAAGAAGCATCTTGTTACAGGTACTGTAAACCAACTTTTATTTGCGTGCGAGTAATCTTTGCGAAGTTCGCGAGAGCCATGGCACTTAATCGCGAATATTTCTCGCCGCAAACTGGTCCTTAAAGTCTCTGTGTCTATTTACTACAGATTAAAGAAACTTGATCGTGAAAATTTATCACCGCCAAGGAGTTTATCATCGGTAAATTGCGAAATAAAGTCGTCATGAATAAAAGTTGGTTTACAGTAATTGCCATATCAAATATGAAAGTCCTATTTAGCTCTCTTAATCAAAAGTTATTAAGAATAATAATTTTTGAAAAAAGAGTCAAACTTCAAGGTCACTGGGTCAAATACAGTATATATAAAAAGATCAAGTCACAGGTAATATACATGTGTAATGTAAGAGCCCTGTATTTTTTCTCTTTCAAAAGTTTAAAATTTGAGGTAATGTTAAATATTGTTGAAAAGTAGGTCAAACTAAATAGCCAAGGGGAAAAAATTATGGTTTTGTTACAGGTAATGTACATTTGAAATTTTACGTCCCCATGCTTTCGTGAAAGCGGGAGACAAAAAAAATGAGTATCTGCGTGGTTTTATACATCTTGTTTTGGAATAATAATTACAAAACAATTTTGGAATGGGTGCTCATGAAATGGTAAATTCATGGTTCCTCTAGACAGGAAACAATTTCCTTCAGCAGCTCCGGATATATTTTCCTCCCAAGGGTAACCATAAATTTGCCTTTTTTTCCAGATCCCATTCCATAACTATAACTTAATTAACCCGCAAAAGCTTTATATGAACAGAGAATGTCATGAATTAAAATGTTTATTAAGATGATATATATACACTGATAAAAAAGACTTTTGTGATGTCAGTTCAGGTTTTCCCTTTCTTCTTTTTCTTCTTCTTGTTCGTATTACTGCTCTTCTCTTTGATTGATGATGTTTCTTTCCTTAAAAAAAAGAGACAAGGGGCTCTGAACATTTTCTTCCAGTACAGTTGCAGAAAGCTAATGCCGCAAAATATCAGTGCACTCAGTCTGATTTATTGTGTAAAAAGTAAACAGTGAAAAAATGTTTGTGTGAAAATTGGCATTCCTCCTTGTGTGGGTCACTTGTGGAATCTATACAGACTATAGTAGTCTACCTTAGACAACCCTCTTGAGGGATTTATTAAATAGATTTGTATTTGATTTGTTAGGACATGTGCAACTGCTTCATGACATAAACTTTCTTCAAGGGTTTGTTGCTTGCACTTGTATGTTTTAAGTCTTTTTGAAATTACTTGCTAGTCTCTACTGATTTGACTTGTATATGGTTTGCAACTTGAGTTATTTGAGTTTTTCTTATTTGACTTCTATATGGTTTGTATATGGTTGACTTACTTGAAGAAGGGAGGGGGGGGGGTCTGATTTAATGACTTGTACAGGTATATGGCTTGTAACTTGACTTGCTTGAGGGGTTTCTGATTTAACTTGTATATGGTTTGTAACTTGACTTTTTTGAGGGGGTTTCTGATTTGACTTGTATGTATATGGTTTGTAACTTGACTTACTTGAGGGGGGGGGGTCTGATTTGACTTGTATATGGTTTGTAACTTGACTTTCTTGAGAAGGTTTCTGATTTGACTTGTATGTATATGATTTGTAATTTGACTTACTTGAGAGGCTTTCTTATTTGACTTGTATATGGTTTGTAACTTAATTTACTTGAGGGGGTTTTCTGATTTTACTTGTACATGTATATGGTTTATAAGTTGACTTACTTGAGGGAGTTTCTGTTATGACTTATATATGATTTGTAACTTGACTTACTTGAGGGGTTTTTCCAATTTTACTTGTACATGTATATGGGTTGTAACTTGACTTACTTGAGGGAGTTTTCCGATTTTACTTGTATATGGTTTATAACTTGACTTACTTGAGGGGGTATTCTGTTTTGACTTATATATGGTTTGTAACTTGAATTACTTGAGGAGGTTTTCCGATTTTACTACATGTATATGATTTGTACTTGACTTACTTAAGGGAGTTTTCTGTTTTGACTTATATATGGTTTGTAACTTGAATTACTTGAGGGGTTTTTCGGATTTGACTTGTACATGTATATGGTTTGTAACTTGACTTACTTGAGGGAGTTTTCTGATTTGACTTGTATATGGTTTATAACTTGACTTACTTAAAGGGGTTTTCCGATTTGATTTTTATATGGTTTGTAACTTGACTTACTTGAGGGGTTTTTCGGATTTGAATTGTATATGGTTTATAACTTGACTTACTTTAGGGGGTTTTCTGATTTCACTTGTATATGATTTGTAACTTGACTTACTTGAGAGAGTTTTCTGATCTGACTTGTATATGGTTTGTAACTTGACTTACTTGAAGGGGTTTTCCGATTTGATTTTTATATGGTTTGTAACTTGACTTACTTGAAGGGGTTTTCCGATTTGATTTTTATATGGTTTGTAACTTGACATACTTTAGGGGGGTTTCTGATTTGACTTGTACATGTATATGGTTTGTAACTTGACTTACTTGAGTGAATTTTCTGATTTGACTTGTATATGGTTTGTAAGTTGACTATCTTGAGGGTATTTTCTGATTTGAATTGTATATGGTTTGTAACTTGACTTACTTTAGGGAGTTTTCTGATTTGACTTGTATATGGTTTGTAACTTGACTTACTTGAGGGTGTTTTCTGATTTGAATTGTATATGGTTTGTAACTTGACTTACTTGAGGGTGTTTTCTGATTTGAATTGTATATGGTTTGTAACTTGACTTACTTGAGGGGGGTTTCTGATTTGACTTGTGTATGGTTTGTAACTTGACTTACTTGAGGGGGGTTTCTGATTTGACTTCATCCAGATTTAGCATCACTGTTTCCTCTTCCTCACTGTCATCTCCTAGGTTACCATCTAAAAATAGCAAATTAACAGTCTCCTAGGTTATCATCTAAAAATAACAAATAAACAGACTCCTAGGTAACCATCTAAAATAACAAATAAACAGTCTCCTAGGTTACCATCTAAAAATAATAGTCTCCTTAAGGTTACCATCTAAAAAAACAGTCTCCTATGTAACCATCTAAAAATAACAAATAAACAGTCTCCTAGATAATCGCGTAAAATAACCATAAACACATGTAGCAAAGAAACAGTCTCCTAGGTTACCATATAATATACCTGTAATTAACTTTATATGACATATTCTCTGATCAATTGTTACCTTTGCTTTATGTATGAGCTCAAAAAATACTCGTTACTAGATAATCTAACTGTGTCTTGGAACAATAAGCTCTTATCACCGTTAAAATACCTCCAATATACCAGAAACGTAGCAGAAAATTACAGAATTGCTCTGCAATGATTTTGGAGAAATTAAATAATTCAGAATTCTCTGGATTGTTCAAAGTGTAACGCAGATATTTATTTGCCTCTGCTGGGGATTGAACATGGGGTCTCTGGCTTACCAATCCAGTCCTCTACAAATTGATCTGAAAGCTTAATCCACTAACCAAAGCTAATAGGAAGCCATAGACGACCACATTGTCCCCTTCCAGAGAATGAGATATCCTCATCTTTTCTGGAGTGCTGACACCTGTGGAGTGAGGTTCTGAAGTAATTCCTGACAGAGCCCATGAACTTAAAGCCCGAGATAATAAGCACCACCATCAGATTTACCTGCTCTGTATCCCCCTGTCAATCAAATAAATTAAGGGCCATCATTGGGTACTTGAAATTGATTGACATTTAGCTACTAGTCCCTGTGTCTTTCACCTTGTTTGACACGCGTGGCCACCATCAAATTAACTTTCAGTCTGTGTTTACCGCTAAATCACTATCGTAAGAGGAGGATACAAACAATTTGAACTTGATTATAATTGAGTATGATTATCTTTATTACAAACATTTCATCATAAAATGAAAATGATCTCATAATAGTGTTTCAATACAGCAAATCAAGATGGTGTATATTTTTTCTAATGAAAAATGTATAGGCGACTGTTTTCAGTCGTAAAAAGATTCTTGTTCTGAGACGCGGCGAAAACATTACGGAGCATAAAGGAGAAAATAAGCTGGTAACATGTTTTGCATGTATTGGATAGTAATGTTGAAAACAAAATGTCTGATTAGTAACAACTTCGCCTGGACAAGTATTAAATATATTAAGAATTTCTTTCTTTTCTCTTCCTTTTTTATAACCGAGCATTTCTTGCTACGTGGGTTGTTACCTCCAAGATCAAACACTGTTTAAGAAGGGAGGAATCTAGCAGTTTGGGCTAAACAGACCATGGCTGCAGAACTGTTACAGAAGCATTACATTTTTTTATATCGGTCTTTGACACATATCCATCTGTGACTTTTATCCACCTCTCAACCTTTTATAGTTGTTTCTCCAAGAGATAAACTCATTTGACTGGATTTTTCTGCAATCCAACAGATATTTCAAGTAAATCTAGCAAAGTATAAACAGTTGGGAGGTGGATAAAATACACAGATTGGTTAAAGAATGTGTCTTGAATTATGCAGTGAAAGATAGTTGATTGACCAATGCTGGAAAGTGGAGAAATTCTCCCCAACAGTGCACTCAAAAGTCTTAGGCCGTAAATTACACATTTTTTTGCATTACGTGATCTGTAGCGCTATGGTCAAAGGCTAAAATATAAAGTCATAATGCTACAGTTCTGCAGCTACACAGATCATGGAAGCTTAATCATGACCTTGAGAAACCTACAGGTCAAATACTGTCTTGGAGACAGACAAGCTTCTAAACTCATTGAAGTAAAGGGCATATTACTGAAAAACACTGTTGTGAAACACTGATGCAACAATATGACAGCTTTTGACAAATGCTGAAGTTTCCCAAATCCATCTCAAACTTCAAGATCAAGGGATGAAATATGTTGTTACCAAAAAGAATGCATAAACCTGTGAAATATGAATGCCAAAGCACAATCATTTTAAAGTAATGGTCAAGATTGATGTTTTTCATTGTGGGTCAAACTTTAAGGTCAAAGGGTCAAAGGGTCAAACTATAAGTACCCAGTGGAAGGTCTTGCCATAAGATATACACATGTGAAGTATAACATGTACATGTATAAACCCTTAGCACAAAATTTTCAAAAGTAATGGCCAAGGTTAAAGTTTTTAAAAAGTGGGTCAAACTATACATAGGACTTCAACTTGAATCAGTTTTTATTTTGCAGGTCTGCCAAAAGTCCTATCCAATGTTTACATCTTTTAGTTAAAAGTCAGGGGAAAGATGTAGGCTGATGATGAAAGTGCGAGAGAGAGTTTCAGTAAAGTGGAGCAGTACTCGATAGCTAAGGCCCATCTAACCAAAGTTTTCATTATATTCCTGTCCAAATGCAACTCAAATCTGGGTACCTGTAAAGTGCGAAACGAAATAGAAACGAAACGAAACGAAACAAACTGAAACGGAACGAAATGTACCGAAACGAAACGAAACCTACCGAAACGAAACGAAATCAAGACGAAACGAAACGAAATCAAAACGAAACCCGCCGAAACGAAACGAAACTATCAAAACGTTTTGTTTTTTTTTTGTTTTTTCAAATCAAGGTACATGTATATAATTATATATGTGTAACTGCATGTGGATCCTTTTTTGCTTCAAATACAATTTATATAGTTCAAGCACTTGTTACAGTAATATAAAATTTAATTACCGATACATTAGGCTCCCTCCTCAGTCTAATGATGTATTTACATGTTTGCCAGCTGCAAATATGCACGAGCGTACTATGCATGTATAATTTCAATATGTGTAGTATTTTCAAATTTTTATATCTTACTCTTATTTTCAGTCCTTATTACAACATACTAATATCTATCAAAATTGATCTGTTACATGTAAAGGCTCGTTTATGTACGGGTCGAATTAAAGTCACTTTTCTTTTGTTTTGCGAATGTCTTAAAACATAGGATAAACCAGAGACTTAGAGTATTTAGTATTCCATTCCGAGGTGTCTGGTTTTATCGTTCAATTATACATATAACTCCAACCGAAATCTTGTGTATCCTTTCTACATACATACGGTCCTATTCTATCGAGATAATTTTCGAGGAAGAAATGAGTGGTTTGCAATGAAGAGGCTCGACCAGAGACATCTAAAACGATTTAACTGACAAGAAAAAATTCTCTCGAAGCGAACAATGTCTTTTTAAGTAAGTAAATTATTCAGTAAGATATTAACAAAATATGACATAGGCGTCGGAAGCGGGGTTGGGGGGGGGGGGGGGGTTAGCCCCCCACTTTTTTGCGAAGAAATGTTTTATATAGGCATTGAAAATTGGGGTTTACCTTTTTTGTTGGTTAAGCCCCCCCCCTTTTCAATTTTCTTCCGACGCCTATGTATGAGCTTGAAGCGAAACAATACTTTGCCTGTGGTGCTTGAACTATATAAATTTCAAATGAAGTGAAAATAGACCATATGTTCTGTTTGTTTCGTTTCGACAGGTTTCGTTTTGATTTCGTTTCGTTTCGGTAGGTTTCGTTTCGTTTCGGTACATTTCGTTTCGTTTCGGCAGATTTCGTTTCGTTTCAGTTCGTTTCGTTTCGTTTCTATTTCGTTTCGCACTTTACAGGTACCCATCAAATCTTTCTGAACAAAACAAATTTTAATAACAAATTTTAACAAACTGAAATAAGAAATCAACACAACCTTTCAGTCTTTTTCATAACAAATTTGACTAGTTCTTAAATTCAGTATCACTGTACAATTCTTATTCACTTAATTTAAATTCAATTTCAAAATCATCCATTTCCCCAGTGTGACATAAACTGTCTTCCAGCTTTCCACTATTTTCTTTACTCGATGGCAGAGGGTAACACACATCTAGGTCTGCTCCTGTTAGAATGACCTCATCTGACTGACTCACTTCTTCAGATTCTCTGTTTAATGGTTTCTCTAACACAGTAGTTAGACAGTTCATAATATCCTCTAACAATATGTCATTGCCAAAGTTATTCATGTGGACTCCATCTTTGATGTATATAGAGACATTCTGGTGTATAATGTTATAATGAGGCATGACAACTCCGCCCATTTCTGTGACATATTGACCTACTTCACAGTTGATTTGCTGCCTCTTAGCTTCACCACACTCCAGTGACATCCCCCTCCACACGCGTCGAGCCAGAATCTCAGAGTATACCAGCTTAGTTGTGGGGAACATTTCTGTCACTTTCTTCAGATCAGTTTTCATCCTGTCGATCAACTCGTTCGTATCCCATGATGCCACATCATTAGACCCCAGATGAATCATCAGAACACTGGGATCCGGGAAGTCGAATATTGCGAGATCTCTCTGTAGGTTAAACATGAGCTGCTCCCACTTCATCCCCCGCACTCCGTCCCAGTAAATGGTTACCTCCCTCTCGTCATACGTCAGATTGCGAAATCCACGAGTCCTGGCTCGATCCTCTGCCCAGTGCACAATGGATGATCCCACAATCCACACATTGGTCACACCTGGCTTGTCATCTGAAATCAACCAGTGTTCTCGTGGTCACTCAAGGCAACAGATGCGCACGTTCAATAACATCATTCATTGTCAAATTCATAACACTTTTATGTTGAAAAATTTCCCATGTCTTTTAGAATCAAGTGAAGTGAAGGGAGATTTATAAAGAAGTTCATGGACATAGGTAAAAAAACCAAATCAAATGCTCCCAGTAAAATGGTAATGTCAACAGCTTCTTTCCATATTCATGAATTAAATAAGTGCAAAATTAGGAACTGATTAGTGAAAGAAAGTGAACTTCAGCATAGTCAAAAATCTTCCTCCAAGATGCAACTGTTCATATAAAGTTATTACAAGTAATTCTCGGCAGTAAAGAAAAGACCAGTTAACCAATACAAGATATGCAAAGTTAAAGATAGAATGTTCTAACATTAAAATGATAAATGTCCTATGGACCCAGTTTAGATAAGTGAGGGATTGTCCAGAGACACAGTTAGAATATTCTATCTAGGGTAAAGAAGGATATGCTCATATTTCTAGCACCGTAAATTGGTTTACAAAGCTATATGAAAAAATTCAAAACAATATTTAATTAAGTTTAGCTAAATTCATGAAATGTCAAGTATGATGGAAAAATCAAGATATAATTATTGTAAAATTTTGATACCAGATAATATTAGCATACTGTGCATGATGCTTTTCAGAAAATATCTGTAATGTTATATGAATGTTAATGGGGAAAGTGAGGCCAATATTACAAAGACGAAGGTCCGAAAAAAAATTTTTTTAAAAAGTGGAAATGCTCTCATAAGTCTATATCTGGGCATGAGATGTCAATATCTGTCACATTAGGCACAGAGCTCGGTGAAGTGGAACTGCTAGAAGGACAAACATGATAAACTCCATACTTCAAGGGTTTATAGGACATGTGCATTAAATGTTCTTGTGAAGTTCCTCTTCACTTCAGCCATTAGCAAGACATGTGCATATATTACTGCTGACAAGTTCCTACTTTTAGGTCATCCATGGCTGGACTTCACACAAACTCCATGCATCAGTAAAAGTTGTTTTAGTACAGGTTATTAATACATTGTTACTCCAGATTTACTTTCTGTTAGCATTTGGTGATGGTGTGGGAAAATTCATTGTGTTAATTTCATCCTTATAACTATGCTGTCTGAATTCTAACAGGTCACAAGATCATATAATGGGACTTGATATGCAGAAAGACTAAGAAAACATCCACTCTATATTTCTCTTTAACTTGTTAAGCAGTCTAACTTGATCATAGTTTAAACATCTTTCAGTTTTATGAAATACAGTTGAACTTTGGTATTTCGAACACCATGGATATGTCAAAGTGATTTGGAAATCCAAACAACTCCTTCCTTAAGTATTTATAATAACCCTTGATATCTCAGATCATAGGATATTTCAAAGTTTTTCCTTGGTCCAATCAAGTCTCAGATAAAAAGATTAAACTACCTCTCTCTTAAAGTTTTTATTTAAAATGTTGATGCTAAAATTATGCCTTCCCAGGTTCATTGAATATACTGTATGCAGGATAATTTTCACCCCCGTTTTATTTTCGCCCCTTTTGCCCTACCCTCATTTGGGTGAATTTAAAACAGGGAGAATTCAAAGCATACAGTAGAATTTCTTACACTATATTATGACTGGGCAATTTAAAACGGGGCTAAATTGTTTGCAAGTGTGAAAGGGCAAAAATAACATGGGGTGAAAATAACCCTGTGTACAGTATATTGTGGATATAAAAATGCAATCATTGCCTTTGACTCAAAACATATAATGGTCATACTGAGCTAAATTACATACCTGTAGCGAGGGATATGCCCTTTTTGTCACTTCCTGTGACCTTGGCCTCGTTTTGTAATTCTTCCATCATGTCCTCATCTTCAACATCCCAGGTACTGGCTCCACCCTCCCCAATCACTCCCGCTCCCCGACCCTACAAAAAAAGAGACACCACAAGTTACCACCAGAAACTGATACCACCAGTTACCACCAGAAACAGACACCACCAGTTACCACCAGAAACAGATACAGATACTGGCTCCACCCTCCCCAATCACTCCCACTCCCTGACCCCACAAAACAGATACCACCAGTTACCACCAGAAACGGATACCAGGACAAAAACATACAGTTACCACCAGAAACAGATACAAAACCATACAATTACTACGGTAATGTAGGTCTATTAATAATTCCAATGTATACGTGTAAAAATTTCATTCTCACGTATCATTCTACTATTACACATTTATTGCATGATAGTGAGGGAAATATGAAGACTTATTCAGCCAAGAAAAATCATATTCCCCGAGGGCTTCAACCGAGGGGAATATGATATTTCTTGGCTGAATAAGTCTTCATGTTTCCCGAACATTCATGCAATGAATTGTTTATTATACCGAAACAAGCAAAACCTTTGAAATCAACATAAACTTTCAAATTCAGCACCGCTCTCAAATTCACTTTCATAGTTAACTTAAAGTTACTATAAAACCCTTTGGTCAACACATTGTCATCAGTTTTGTGACGTAAACCAGGCTATTGTGACGTTTACTACTCTCGGTAGTTTTCGTTCAACGAACGAGAACTATATTGCGGGAAAATTCACTAGGTGTTCCGAAGAGGTGGAATATGATGAAAAGCGTGCTGACGACGGGAAATATGAAGTTTTACGGCCAGATCACGTGATAACCTAGAACCAATCAGATAACGCGTTGTGTAGAATATTTATAATGAGGTGTAATAAACAAGAGGCCCATAGGCCTTATAGGTCACCTGAGCATTATGCAACAACTTTCCAGTGATTGAATTTGATTCATGTTTTAAGCCAGATGCTATGGCATTCACAATTTTGAAAGAGGCACCATTGATCATCATAACAATACACTTAGCAGTTGCTTAGTTTGTTTACTTAATACCCATATGCAGGGTAAGGGAACAAAAAATGCATTTCAACTAATCAGTAATATTCAGCAATAATCAGTAGTGCCCCTACCACACATGAACCCCTGACCCTTAGGCCTTGATATTTGATTAATACCAAGGAGCAGATTTCAAACCATTCATTCATTTTCAGTATATAAGTACAGCCCCCCCCCTTCTATGGTACCCCTGACCCTGGGGCCTTGAAATTCACAATTCTGGAAGATATGGGCCCTTGTCCAGCATAACTATACAGGTAGTTCATCTGCTTAATACCCTGGAGCAGAGAAGAAAATTTTCAAAGATTTAATGTATTTTCACTATATAATCAATAGAGTCCCGCCCTAACACTAGAACCCCTGACCCTGGGGCTATAAAATTCACAACTTTGGAAGAAGCATTCTTGCTCATTATAACTATGTACTTAGTTAGTTTATTTAATTCCTAAGAGCAGAGAAGAAGATTTTCAAAGAATTCATGTATTTTCACTATACAATCAATACAGTCCCGCCCTAACAACAGAACTTCTGACCCGGCTGGGGCCATAAAATTCATTATTTTGGTAGAAGCACTCTTGCTCATCATGGCTATGCACTTACTTTTTTTTTACCGGTAATACCCAGGAGCACAAAAGATGACTTTCAAAGAATTCATGTATTTTCACTATATAATCAATAGAGCCCTGCCCTAACACCAGAACCCCTGACCCTGGGGCTATAAAATTCACAATTTTGGTAGAGGCACTCTTGCTCATCATAACTATGCACTTAGTTAGTTTATTTAATACCTAGGAGCAGAAAAGAAGATTTTCAAAGAATTCATGTATTTTCACTAATAAAAGTCTATATAATCAATAAAGCCCCGCCCTAACACCAGAACCCCTGACCCTGGGGCCATAAAATTCACAATTTTGGTAGAGGCACTCTTGCTCATCATAACTATGCACTTAGTTAGTTTATTTAATACCCAGGAGCAGAGAAGAAGATTTTCAAAGAATTCATGTATTTTCACTATATAATCAATAGAGCCCCGCCCTAACACCATAACCCCTGACCCTGGGGCCATAAAATTCACTCTTGCTCATCATAACTATTTAGTTAGTTTATTTAATACCCAGGAGCAGAAAAGAAGATTTTCAAAGAATTCATGTATTTTCACTATATAATCAATAGAGCCCCGCCCTAACACCAGAACCCCTGACCCTGGGGCCATAAAATTCACAATTTTGGTAGAGGCACTCTTGCTCATCACTAGTTAGTATAATACCCAGGAGCAGAGAAGAAGATTTTCAAAGAATTCACGTATTTTCACTATATAATCAATAGAGCCCTGCCCTAACACCAGAACCCCTGACCCTGGGGCCATAAAATTCACAATATTGGTAGTGGCACTCTTGCTCATCATAACTATGTGCTTAGTTGGTTTATTCAATACCCAGGAGCAGAGAAGATTTTCAAAGAAATAATGCATTTTCACTACCTACTTATTTAGCCCCGCCCTAGCACTAGAACCCCTGACCCCAGGGACATGAATTTCATAATTTTGGTAGAGGACTCATTGCTGATTACAATCATGCAAACAGTTTGACTGCTTGATGTCCAGGAGTAAAGAAGAAGATTTTTAAAGATTGCATTAGTTTTAGTGGTTTTGGCCCCACCCCTCAGGCCCCAGGGGGGGCAGGGATCATGAAATTCACAATGTTTGTTCTCCTTCACCCATAGATGCTTTAGGCCAAATTTGGTTGAAATTGGTTCAGTGGTTGCAGAGAAGAAGCTGAAAATGTTCAAATGTTAACGCACAACGCATGACGACGGATGAAAACAGATAGCAATAGGTCACCTGAGTTTACTCAGGTGACCTAACAAGAGGTCCATGGGCCACATCGCTCACCTGAGAATCTTTTGTCATATTGTTCTTTACCAGATTTCCCCCTTGTAATACATATTGTGGCCCCGCCCTACCACTGGGGGTCATGAATTGAACAATTTAGAATCTACACTATCCCAGGGTGCTTCCACATCAGTTTCAGCTTTTCTGGCCCAGTGGTTCTTGAGAAGAAGATTTTCGAAGATTTTTCCTACATATTTCTATGTAAAACATTGATGCCCCATTGTGGCCCCGCCCTATCCCCGGGGGTCATGATTTGAACAATTTAGAATCTACACTACCCCAGGGTGCTTCCACATCATTTTCAGCTTTTCTGGCACAGTGGTTCTTGAGAAGAAGATTTTCAAAGATTTTTCCTATATATTTCTATGTAAAACATTGATGCCCCATTGTGGCCCTGCCCTACCCCTGGGGGTCATGATTTGAACAATTTAGAATCTACACTACCCCAAGGTGCTTCCACATCAGTTTCAGCTTTTCTGGCACAGTGGTTCTTGAGAAGAAGATTTTCAAAGATTTTTCCTATATATTTCTATGTAAAACTTTGATTCCCCATTGTGGCCCCGCCCAACCCCCGGGGGTAATGATTTGTATAATTTAGAATCTACACTATCCCAGGGTGCCTCCACATAAGTTTCAGCCTTATTGGCCCAGTGGTTCTTGAGAAGAAGATTTTTTAATGACCCCACCCTATTTTTGTCTTTTCTTGATTATCTCCCCTTGTGAGGGGACTTGGCCCTTCATTTTAACAATTTAAATTCCCCTTCACCCAAGGATGCTTTGTACCAAGTTTGGTCAAAATTGGCCAGTGGTTCTTGAGAAGAAGTCGAAAATGTGAAAAGTTTACAGACGGACGGACAGCTAGACAGACAGACGGACGGACAAAATGTGATCAGAAAAGCTAACTTGAGCCTTCGGCTCAGGTGAGCTAAAAAGATTATCCTGAGAATTTTGTTTTACTTATAAATATCAAACTTACAACAATCTCAAAAAATTTGGCGATTTACAGTACATTTAAAAATTAAAAGTCAAGTTTTTAAATATTGAAACAGTATAATAAAATAGGTTCTCATTTAGTACATTTACATAAACAAAATAGTTCACTTCATTAAGTTTAACTTACCAGAATTTTGACCTGGGATTTTTCTTCTTTGTTTCTTTTTTTCAGTCAAGGACGGTAAAGATAACAACATCAAAATAGATCATGATTTTTAAAGATTTTTAAACACATGCATCTACATGTATGTACCGCTCTCTCTTTTTTTTTTTTACTGGTACTTAAACATACTAAAATCACATGCATTAGAAAGCCCTTTAACGAAATGAAACCACTGAAAACCATCTTTCATTTGCATGTGAGAATTATCTGAGAGTTTCACAAGCTTCTTTGAATCACAACAATTTATCACTTTGAACTGCAGCAAAACTCAGTTATAATGAAGCCACCAGGACTTATGACATTACTTCGCTATATCTGTAATTCGTTATAACAGTATAAGAAATTCATTAAATTTATATAGTTTGGGATCCAAGATGACTTCGCTATATCTGTAAATTCGCAATATCCGTCTTCGTACTAAACGAGTTTTGCTGAATTTATTTTGCTTGTTATTTGTAAGAATTTCCTCAGTTCATGAAATTTAACTGTCACAGATTGATTTCAGACTGCCAAATGGTGAATAAAAGATGAGGCAAATAAAATTTTGTTTACAGTTCTGTTTCTACCCACATGTTTGAAGAATTACCTACATTTTTTAATAGCAACCACATCAAAAGAACTGGGTGATTGTTTAATATTTTACTGATCAGTTAGTTAAAGAGCAAGTTCTGGGATATTGTTCTATATAGCAAGTCTTGTTGATAGATAAGAATAGAAGTAAATTGTTTTTCAGTTAAGGATACAAGTCTCCATTCATGTCCATTTCATCACTTGATTCACCATTTATCTGGGCCTCTGTAGCCTGAATTTCCTCTGGTTTCCTGTGATTTGTCAGTATACTCTCTGTTGGCTCAGACTCAGCAAAACCAAATTTATCTCCCTTCAGTCTGAAACAATAGAGAAGCATAAGATGTATAAAGGTTAAAGGGTGAAACTCTGTCTCCTTAGACTTTTTCTGGCTTCATAAAAACAGAATGCTGAATATATGTCAATTATTTGAACTTTGATCAGTTAACAAGACTTCCCAAAGAGTGTTTTTGGCAACTTCTGATATTTTTATTAATACCTTATTTGCTGGACAAATTAAAGTAAATGATATATTACACTTCTGAATTCTTTTTTTTTAACCAAGGTTTGTAAATGTTAATTGAAGGAGAAGAGATTTGTGTGGAAGTAAACTGAATTTTCTTTAAATAAACCTACATGTACAGTGACACCTATAGAGTTATCTGACCTTGCTTCTCTGTCATATTCCAGGGCTCTCTGTATCAATTCTGTGATCTCTGTTACCTTGACAACAGCTATGTTGGAACATCTCAATACCTGCAACAAAAATTGTATTTCACATTATATCTCACAAATACATACAGGCTTACAAGTACTTTAAACCTAAGTGGGTTTGTTGATGTCATGCCAAGATATTTCATAGTTGAAGTTCTTTTAAAACCAAGTGACAATTCCCCTGACACCTGAAGGTTAATTTACCTGATCCTTCATCAGTAACATTTCTCCAGACACCTGAAGGGTAATTTACCTGATCCTTCATCAGTAACATTTCTCCAGACACCTGAAGGGTAATTTACCTGATCCTTCATCAGTAACATTTCCCCTGACACCTGTAGGGTAATTTACTTGATCCTTCATCAGTAACATTTCCCCTGACACCCACAGGGTAATTTACCTGATCCTTCATCAGTAACATTTCCCCTGACACCTGTAGATGATTTACCTGATACTTCAACAGTAATATTTCCCCTGACACCTGAAGGGTAATTTACTTGATCCTTCATCAGTAACATTTCCCCTGACACCTGTACATAATTTACCTGATACTTCAACAGTAATATTTCCCCTGACACCTGAAGGGTAATTTACTTGATCCTTCATCAGTAACATTTCCCCTGACACCTGTAGATAATTTACCTGATACTTCAACAGTAATATTTCCCCTGACACCTGAAGGGTAATTTACTTGATCCTTCATCAGTAACATTTCCCCTGACACCCGCAGGGTAATTTACTTGATCCTTCATCAGTAACATTTCCCCTGACACCTGTAGGGTATTTTACCTGATCCTTCATCAGTGACATTACCCCAGACACCTGAAGGTTACTTTACCTGATCGTTCATCAGTAGCATTTCCCCTGACACCTGTAGATAATTTACCTGATCCTTCATCAGTAACATTTTCCCTTACACCTGTAGGATAATTTACCTGATCCTTCATCAGTAACATTTCCCCAGACACCTGTAGAGTAATTTACTTGATCCTTCATCAGTAACATTTTCCCTCACACCTGTAGGGTAATTTACCTGATCCTTCATCAGTAACATTTCCCTGACACCTATAGGGTAATATTACCTGATCCTTCATCAGTAACATTTCTCCAGACACCTGTAGGATAATTTACTTGATCCTTCATCAGTAACATTTCCCCTGATACCTGTAGGGTAATTTACCTGATCCTTCATCAGTGACATTACCCCAGACACCTGAAGGTTACTTTACCTGATCCGTCATCAGTAGCATTCCCCCTGACACCTGTAGATAATTTACCTGATCCTTTATCAGTAACATTTCCCCTGGCACCTGTAGGGTAATTTACCTGATCCTTCATCAGTAACAATTCCCCTGACACCTGCAGGGTAATTTACCTGATCCTTCATCAGTGACATTTCCCCAGACACCTGAAGGGTAATTTATTTGATCCTTCATCAGTAACATTTCCCCTGACACCTGTAGATAATTTACCTGATACTTCAACAGTAATATTTCCCCTGACACCTGTAGGGTAATTTACTTGATCCTTCATCAGTAACATTTCCCCTGACACCCGCAGGGTGATTTACCTGATCCTTCATCAGTAACATTTCCCCTGACACCTGTAGATAATTTACCTGATACTTCAACAGTAACATTTCCCCTGATACCTGTAGGGTTATTTACCTGATCCTTCATCAGTAACATTTTCCCTGACACCTGTAGGGTAATTTACCTGATCCTTCATCAATGACATTACCCCAGACACCTGAAGGTTACTTTACCTGATCCTTCATCAGTAGCATTTCCCCTGACACCTGTAGATAATTTACCTGATCCTTTATCAGTAACATTTCCCCTGGCACCTGTAGGGTAATTTACCTGATCCTTCATCAGTAACATTTCCCCTGACACCTGTAGATAATTTACCTGATCCTTCATCAGTAACATTTCCCCTGACACCTGAAGGGTAATTTACCTGATCCTTTATCCTGATCCTTCATCAGACATTTCCCCTGACACCTGAAGGGTAATTTACCTGATCCTTCATCAGTAACATTTCCCCTGACACCTGTAGACCTGATACTTCAACAGTAATATTTCCCCTGACACCTGAAGGGTAATTTACCTGATCCTTCATCAGTAACATTTCCCCTGACACCTGTAGGGTAATTTACTTGATCCTTCATCAGTAACATTTCCCCTGACACCTGTAGGGTAATTTACCTGATCCTTCATCAGTAACATTTCCCCTGACACCTGTAGGGTAATTTACCTGATCCTTCATCAGTAACATTTCTCCAGACACCTGTAGGGTAATTACCTGATCCTTCATCAGTAACATTTCCCCTGACACCTGAAGGGTAATTTACCTGATTCTTCATCAGTAACATTTTCCCTCACACCTGTAATTTACCTGATCCTTCATCAGTAACATTTCCCTGACACCTATAGGGTAATATTACCTGATCCTTCATCAGTAACATTTCTCCAGACACCTGTAGGGTAATATACTTGATCCTTCATCAGTAACATTTCCCCTGACACCTGTAGGGTATTTTACCTGATCCTTCATCAGTGACATTTCCCCAGACACCTGAAGGGTAATTTACTTGATTCTTCATCAGTAAAATTTTCCCTGACACCTGTAGGAAAATTTACCTGATCCTTCATCAGTAACATTTCTCCTGACACCTGTAGGGTAATTACCTGATCCTTCATCAGTAACATTTCCCCTGACACCTGCAGGGTAATTTACCTGATTCTTCATCAGTAACATTTCTCCAGACACCTGTAGGGTAATTTACCTGATCCTTCATCAGTAGCATTTCCCCTGACACCTGTAGATAATTTACCTGATACTTCAACAGTAACATTTCCCCTGACACCTGTAGGGTAATTTACCTTGATCAAAACATTTCCCCTGACACCCGCAGGGTAATTTACCTGAATCAGCACATTTCCCCTGACACCTGAGGGAATTTACTTGATACTTCATAACATTTCCCCTGAATTTACCTGATTTCATCATAACATTTTCCCTGACACCTGTAGGGTAATTTACCTGATCCTTCATCATGACATTACCCCAGAATCTTTTACAGAGGTTAATTTACATTTCCCCTGGCACCTGATCCTTCAATGGTTAATTTACTTGATCCTTCATCAAACATTTCCCCTGAAAACTGTAGGGTATTTTACCTGATCCTTCATCAGTGAAATACAAAGCATGACACCTGTAGGAATTTACCTGATCCTTCATCAGTAACATTTTCCCTTACATAGGATAATTACTTCCTTCATCAGTAACATTTTCCCCTGAATGTACATTTGAACCTGTAGGGTAATTTACCTGATCCTTCATGACATTTCCCCTAGTCACCTGTAGGGTAATTTACCTGATCCTTTAATTTCCCCTGACACCTGTAGGGTAATGGCATCAGTAACATTTCCCTGATTTCAATATTACCTGATCCTTCATCAGTAACATTTCTCCAGACACCTGTAGGGTTTCAAACATTTCCCCTGACACCTGTAGGGTAATTTACCCTTCATCATTACCACATTTACCCCTGATCCATCATCAGTAGCATTTCCCCTGACTGTAGATAATTTAATTTCACAGTAACTTCCCCTGAGAATGTAACACAGATGACACTTCAACAGTAATATTTCCCCTGACACCTGCAGGGTAATTTACCTGATCCTTCATCAGTAACATTTCCCCTGACACCCACAGGGTGATTTACTTGATCCTTCATCAGTAACATTTCCCCTGACACCTGTAGATAATTTACCTGATACTTCATTTAGTAACATTTCCCCTGATGTAGGGTTATTTACCTGATCCTTCATCAGTAACATTTTCCCTGAGAGGGTAGAGATATGATTTTTCCTCTTCCTTCATCATGTTTTGCTGACTTTTTCCTGATCACACCTGGAATGCTCTTAAAGTGACATTTATTATTTTAAAGAGGTAAATACAACCTGATCCTTCATCAGTATTTCATCTTTAGACTTGTAGGTTAAGTAAATATAATCATCAGTATTTTCGAAATCCTTCATCACATGTCTCATAAATTACTTTTTACACCGTATAATTACGCATTAGCAATCATAGATTCACACCTGTAGGGTGTACTGCATTATTTTAGAATGTATAAACATGTACATTGACTTACCCTTGTTCTGAGGAGAATTAACACAGTGGGCATGTGACACTGAGAGCATTTTACCCAGGTATCAGGGAATCACCTGGGATGCTTAGTCCTTCAATAAACATTTCCCCTGACACCTGTAGGGTAATTTACCTGACTATGCATCAGTAACATAACTGTAATCAACATCTTTCCTGTTAATTTACCTGATACAAAAATACCTAAAGTCTGTGTTTAGTACTTTTTCTGTCTGTTGGATGTACCTTGTAATTTAAAAAGCACTGGGTGATATAAAAAGTTGTGCTTTTACAAGAACTTTTTCATCAACTGAATAACTTGCAAAACATTGATATATACAAAATACATCAAAATCTGAAACCATATTTGGTTTCAGTGTTGATTATATTTTAAATTAGTCCTCTCTGATTTTAATGCACATCAGCCACCGTTCTGCGCATGTGCGAATCACGTGATATGGGCGGTCATGTGACCCCCTCCGTAGCGTTCTGTCACAAAAGCTGAAAGATTTTTCTGAGTATTATATTTCTTTCCATGTAAATTAATTTTCAGAACAAGAACAGTTCATTTATCAGAAATGGGCAAATCTCAGCAACAGAAAGGGTAGATAAGAATATCCTTTCCAAAAATAAGCATGGCGACCATTAAAACACAAATATTCTGTCTCGGGAGAGACATTTATAAATTCAAGGTGGATAGAGAATGGTTGCCTCCCTTTTATCATATCTAATATGTTTAAAATCTAAAGTACCTATATCTATATATAGGTATTTAATAATTATATTATTGTTCAAATATTCAACTATTTTTCAAAGTGTTAATTGGAGGTCTTTGATAGCAAATTGTTTAATTAAAAACACATATCTTTTCAAACTTGCTTTCACTGAGCAACATGACATGTATCATTTTTAACCATCTGCCTTCCTTCACTAAAATGATCAATCCAATTATTGATTGAATTTATAGTTAGTCATTTGTCTTAATAAACTGTGTACAAATTATTATATGTTAAGGCAAAGGGGTTTCTAAGATATGCAATAAATTGTACAGTCGTTTGTTGAACGAGTACGACTGAGACAACCATTTTTCGTCACAAGTGTCCTACATGTATATAGTGGCGTCATTGTGACGTCACAAACAAGAAGCAAAACCTTATTCAGCATACACTATTTATAGAACTTTTGTATAGCTATGTGTGTACCAAATTTCATTCTAATCTGAATTGTGGTTTTGTAGATATAGAGATAGTTCGTGAACTTTTTGATCACCCCTTGTACAAATTTTTTGAGATTTTCCCCCAAAATGGTAAAAGTAAACTTATATCTTTAGTCCATTTTTTTTTCAAAATTTTGTGAACTATCTTATTTAAATTGACTTTCATTTCATAGGACACAGTATTTTAAAATGCAAAGGTAAAGTTATGGAGTCACTCACCACAATTATTTCATTTCCATCGACTGTGACGTCTGGTCGTCTGTAAATTGAGGTAGATGTTTTATAATCATTTTCATTGTTTATCATTAAGTTTTAACAAGTTGAATATATACATGTAGAGTAAAATAAACATGGTAAAGATATCTCAAAACTTGTGTTACTGTAGATTCCTTATTTTTCGTGAGTACTTATTATCACACATGGGCTTTTCAATATAAAATTGCAAGAAGAATAATTTGCAAATGGACGGTTGGTTTCAAGATTTTTCATAGATATCAGCATCATAAAAATAAAGGCAAGTACTTTTATTTCATGTGTGGTCTTCTTGCGAAATTATGCGATAATTAATTCCATGCATATATTTAGAAATCTACAGTACTGGGAAAAAGTATCCAGAGCTATAGTAAAATTTCTCTTAAACTTCATTTTTTGTACAGTAATTTTTTTGCCAGATTAAGCAGGGTGTTTATGTCTCAATATATTAATGTCGTGTAATACACTACACTTATAACAATAACAATGACTTATTTCAAACATTCTCAATAAATTAAGTAATGAAGAAATTAAAGGTCAACTGTAAGTGTTGAGACATGGGCCTATGTTGAATGTGTATGAAGGATGAACAGAAGATTAAGGTAGGAATGATAAATACTTAAGATCTAATTTTAATAAATATATGGTAACATCTTGTGAATATATAGGACCTTCTATGAGAGATGCACTTTGGAAATTTAAGACCAGCTGTATGTGCTAAATATATGAGATGTGAGTATTTGTTAAACATTATGAAGAGGGTGAATAAAATATTTATATAGGAATGATCACTGAATACTTGAGATCTAATGTTAGTGAACATATGGTAACATCTTGTGATAAAAGAGGACATTCTAGGACAGGAAAGCAGCTACTTGAAACACAACAGAAAATTAAAACTGATCTTAAAAATGTAGCCACATGTACTTCTATCAGATTACCTCAGCTAAGTATATGTACAGTAGGTCACAATGTCTAACCTTTTGATTAAAATGTTTGGTTTCATTAGAGTGGATAATGGATAGTTATACTGGCTGTTTCAATCACTTCTAATACTTATGTACATATGTAATGGCTTTGACACAACTCTGAAGTACTATAATTATTGTGAAGTAAGGCACTTTAAATTACATGTATGCATGGCTGTACATCTATTAATATCATCAAAACAAACCTGAAGTGTGCCAGTGCAGCTATAGACGCTATACTGCTACAATCCACGATATTTCCATCATGATTCATCACATTTACATCAACACGAATTTGCCATACCTAAGAAAGTTGAACTTTGCTATTGAAAATTGAAGAATCCAGATCATTGCTATTATCTTTCCTTATGGATATTCATTATTTTGTATTTTTTATTCAGAATAAATCAGCCATGAGACTTATTTTTCCCTTTTTAGGTAATAGTCTACCAAACTTCTTTAAAATAAGGAAACACTGATTTCACAACTTCATTAAAAAAGGAAATGTTTTGGTACTAAAATATCATCTGCACATGTAGTACATATTCTAATCATCAAACCTTTTCCCCAGAAATAATGCAAAGAGATTCTGTGTCAACACATCGAGACTCTCTCAGGCAGCGCTCCAACAGTCTGTTAATTTCTACACCCAACTCAGACATCCTGAAACAATGGCCATATTTTGTGATAATTACATTCTTTGTATGACTGAAATCATTTGTTGACAAAATGTTAAAGAGATAAATCTCTTCAGGCATTTCCCCAGAAAAATACCTGGTAATATAAAGAGTTATATGTAAATGATTCAAAGCTTTCAACTGATTAAAAATATAATGTTATTTCAGGAGTGCGGTCAATAATAACTAATGAGAAACAAATATAATCTTAGAAATAGAATCAGTTGCCAGTTCTAACAAACCTGCCCACTTCAAAGGCTGGTGAGGCCATAGGGGACAACTCCACATTTACAAACAAGATTCCATCTGATGGCCGAACTGCTCTCGGGGATACTATTTCACATGACACTTGAGCCAGAACTCTGAAAGACATTCACAAAGAAATAATTTAATTTTGTTTGTATTCTCGCCTCTCATTAGTTGATTTCCAAAAAAGGAACGCATACACCCCCTTGTTAATCATCATATCCCTGCAATCCCCTCATTTCCAGTCCTCGGAATCCATAATAGAAGCTTTAATAAATGTACCTTCAACTTTAAACAATTACTCGTTCTTACCTCGTGTAAACAAACATCATGGCTGCTAGATCTTTGTATCAGTTATTACCTCCCCTCGCTTCAAATCACTTCCGTAACTACGGTTGTATTATTGCGTGGTAAATTTGAACTTATAAAAAGCAACACAATTTTACATCAAAAGTTGTTTAATTATTTTAAAATAAATTATAAGGAATGACTTTAATTCTTGGCCATATTATCGAGTATAATCTGGTTTGGGTCAGTTTACGCTTTTTTATAATCCGCTTCACGGATTATAAAGCATAAACTGACCCAAACCAGATTATACTCGATAATATGGCCAAGAATTAGAGTCATTCCTTAATTATAAAACATACTATATAATCCTGTTTAACTTAATTAATTCTAATAATATAAGAATACTTAAGACTTTTATGATCATACAAATATAAAAAAAAATTCAAAATAAAAATGATTATGACTTTGTAAGCCCTGATAGCTTCTGTACCCTGACTAAATAGAGCTGAAACAATACTTTCCCTCCATGAAGCGATACCTATCGCATTGCTTGTGTCACAATTCAATTTTTTCAATATAATACATTTAAATGATTTTTAAAAAAATTCTGAAAATTTTCTACTTTCATTTTTCAATTGTTTTGTACTGAATGTACCCTTTTTGTAACCTAAAGGATAAAAAGATGTACTCTAGTTATAAAAGTATGACCTTAAACCCTTGAACAGATTTCTTGCCATATGTGATTTTTTGCATAGGATCATTCAATGTGATTTTTTGCATGGGTTCATTCAATTAATAATAACTTACACAGTTTTTCCAAGGTTTACTTTACAGCAGCCTCTGTCTGCTCCAAATGTAATTTTAATTTTTCTGTAATCATAAGGTTGTCTTCCATCCAATCTCTACAGAACATGGAACAAATCATTACATCATCTTTTTGTCTCAGAACGAAAGTAAGATTGACAAATTCTGCTCCAAATAGAAGTAGTTTCATTAGAAGTAAGTTTTCATGTTGAATGATTGAAGATTTTCAACACTCACAATGTCAGCTATTCATACCTTTTTATCACTTAGAGCTTTGATTATGAAAAGCCTTTCACAGGCTGATAATGGCGTGTCTCTCATTTTACTGATAGCAAAAAATCTGTTTATGTCCGACAGTCGTCTAAATACAAATCATTTCAAACACAGTCACAGTGATCATACACAGTAACATGTGTTTATCTTCTCAAATTCAACTTCCGGTTGACTTGTGCGTCTCCTTTGTCAGAAGAGTTAGTCACAGTTATAGAAGATGCCGACAGACAACAAGTGAAGGGATGTGTGACAGATAATGGCTGAAAAAAGCCAGGATTTTACTGACTTTGGGAGCAGAATTGAAGGTATTTATTTATGTTTACTTTGATTTTTAGTATGAAGCGAGATACATCCTGGTTAAAATGAGTCAATCGTTCCACTCCCAGTAGCAGACAAGAATGCATCAGATTTTCGTCAGATTCATCAGGATTTTCAGTCCCTCTCGTATTCCTTCTTAGAAATGATATTCCCTTTTATAAATTGGGTTCTTTATGATATATCCTCTTAAATTAAGATGGAATAAGTTTTCTAAAAATTGGTGTTGGTGCTCAGTAAACATATTTTTTTTAAAAATAAAAATTAAAAATTTCTTTAAATACACATATATCTACATTTTATGTGTACTGTACACCTCTATGCATATTCAAAATAACATGAAAGTTTCATAATGATTTTGTTTATTGTCAACAAACATGCATATAAATAATGATTAACTTCTGTCGTCATTTTACATCAGTCAATTACAATATTAATTATACATTGAAGCTTACAATTATGTGCTATATATATATAATTATATAAAACAAAGCTCAAACAAACAACCATTGAAATGTTAAAAACAGATAAAAATTGTGTTGGTCACAGTTTTAATGTTAATTTCAAAATAATTTCTCATTACTTGATTTGCAGACAGTAAATTAAAATTGTTGTTATCATGGTTATATTGCAAAGTTGCATGTGTCAATTATAAAATAAAAACAGGATTTCTTTGTAATTTCTATATCCTAAGGTAAAAAATTAGCATGTGCAAGTAGAGGGAAGTTGATTCTCGGTCTGTGTTTTCTTCAAATTAATATTCACGTTGTAAACATGGTAAATCTTATAATTAGTGTAGGTTTTACAAACTGATAAATTCTGTTAAATGTACCAAGGAAAGAAAGGAAATTCTGACTGCATTTTTTTAATTGATTAAGGGGAACATAGAAGTGGATAATTCAAGCATTTTGGCAATAGGAAGCTATCGGATACTAAGATTTGATCACAATCGTTAATCAGAGCAACGGAAATTTGCTGTTGGGTCTATAAATACACCAAGCCCTATAGCAGTTTTTTCCCTGGGGTCAACATATGGATTGCATATTGACTACTATAGCTGTACGTATGCAGAGACTAGCATTACTATTTATGGTCCTTGATGTGTACTGTTGTTTGTATGGGCATTATGTATAGCCCTACTCTAGAGATATATAGTCTTAGAAAACTGAGCACAGATAGGAAAAACATTTGTGGGTTTGACTGACTTCAAGTGTGTTCCAGAATTCCAGATATATATTCACCGTCATGCTTCCTGCTATTGAGTGCAATACATAACATAGACTGGCAGTGACACAGCATAGACCTGCTGTAATGAATTCAATAAATAAAAATAAGTCTGGCATATGTTTATTGATTATTCATCACACTCCGTACTATAAGTTATTGATACTCATAGATGATCTCAAATGGTTCACATAAATGTGGAAAATGCTTTGAAATATGTTATATAATGTAACACACTGATCATGCTGATTGTCCTCCTATAAACATATTTTTGTCTCGCCTGCGATTGTCGTCCGAGACATAAAAATAGATTCCGTCGTCGTCGTCGTCGTCGTCGGCGTCCAACTTTTGGTTAACCCAAATGTCAAAGTTTTATAAACTGCAATAACTTTCTCAAATTTTATTCAGTCTTCTTGAAATTTGGACACAATATTCAGTATGGATAAAAATTTATATCCCAATATGATTTTGAAAAAAAAAATTCAAATTTTTCCGTGCCTTTTCCTTAAGTTGGACTTAGTTTTTTCATGATAATTTATGGTGAAGACCTATATTCCAGCAACTATAAGTTATAGGGATATGATAATTAGTCAGTGGATACATCATGGGTAACCACAAACGTCAGTACCAGAATTAGGTCATCTTGACCTACATTTTTCAGCATGAGTGACTTTGGTTAAATTTTTGGTGGAGGTCCATATCAGCATCTATAACTTATAATGGCATGATGATTTGTCATTGTACAGGTTATAAGTAACCAACAACATTTTTAGATTTGCCATTTTTTTATTTTTTCTGCATGAATGACTTTGGTTAAATTGATAATGGAGGTTCATATTTCAGAAACTATAACTTATAGTGGCATGATAGTTAGTCAGTGGATACATCATGGGTAACCAAAAACGCCTGTACCAGAATTAGGTCATCTTGACCTACATTTTTCCGCATGAGTGACTTTGCATAAATTTATGGTGGAGGTCAAATAACTCTAGCAACTATAACTTATATGGCATGATAATTTGTCAGTGGATACATCATGGGTAACCACAAACGCCTGTACCAGAATTAGGTCATCTTGACCTACATTTTTCCGCATGAGTGACTTTGCATAAATTTATGGTGGAGGTCCATATAGCAACTATAACTTATAGTGGCATGATAATTTGTCAGTCTACACATCATGGTGTAACCAACAATATCAGTACCATAATTATATATTCACCTACATTTTCTGCATGAATGACTTGATACATATACAGTGGATTTGATTTCAAAATGCAAGTTCAAATTATTGCGACTCATAACACGTTGCAATATTCGCAATAATAAAAACATCACAATAATTTGTGAATTTACAGGGTATATGTATATATATATAAATGCCAATATAATCGCCAAGGGATTAGATATTAAGTCAGCTGTTCCATTTCTTTATTATTGTATTTTTGAGTTATTCCTTCTAAATGTCAATAAATGCTTCAGTTTATCAGACAATCATTTCTATATAACCACAGCACACTGGCATGACACAGGGTTGCGGGCAACCCTTACATATTTTTTTATATAATAGTTAAAAAGAGTATTGGATGTTAGAATTCTATGTACATTTTGGCATACTGTTGAATCATAATGTAAGTTTTATTGTAAATAGGCCAGCTTATTATTTTAACTAGTAGTAAGGGATTCTGAGGGAATGGACATTATTATGCATGCTGTTGCGTCCTGATTAGGTCAATGTTGGATTGGACCGGTGACTGACCAGAGACTATAGCTCTTTGAGTGATCATTAACATCAATTAATTAGAGATCAAGAACATCAATTAATCAATTGAAGTTTAGCTATCAACATGATCAAGCATAGACTGTGTTTGTTCCCTCAATGTCTCGGGTGCATAGCTCACAGAGTAGTCAAATCACACAGTCTCTCTGTCAGACTTGAGTCTGACCATATCTCTCTCTGGTTAGGTTGTTCCCTTATGTCTCGAGTCTATATCTCACTGATAGACCTTTGATACTGAATGTATTTAAAGTACCAGGTAGGTAACTCCATGTGTTGAATTTTGATACAAAACTTCTATACAGACTCTACTGGAGTGATTACTGGTTTGTAAAGACATTGCCCTTCCATTCAAATTTATTAGAATTCTTTGAGACTGTCACATTTCTCAGTCCTTCTTAATCCTTGTCTCAGGTCCATATCTCACTTGACGAGTACTCCCATTTGACAGAGACAGTGGTATACCCCCACCTGCTACTGCCTTGAAGCCTTCACAGAGACAGTTATATTGATTCTCAGAGAAATTAAGCACAGGAATGGTGGTGCAAATTATCAGTAGTTATTGATCCGCTGGGCTAATGTGGAAGCTGCTATTGACATGAAGGCCGGAAAAAAGCTTTGTCTTTTTCTACCAAACTCTCCTCCCACTTGCTTATAATTAATGGAGCCTGCTTTCTTTTTGAACTTTGTAAATAAAACTTGTTATGACATGAGTATTGATTGATTTCTCTCTAAATACTGCCTCCCCAGTCTCATGCTGGCTGCAGCCCAGGTTAAATCAGACATTGAGGAATGCAGTGTCATTATATTCCATATGGATGGAGAGTAAAACGATTCTAATTACTGTTGGTCTAGGTGGAAAGGCTCTGTTAGCAAAAACCTGCAGTAGACACACAGACAGGCACTGTTAGAGGAATGTCTTGAAATGGTCTGATGTCTGTCTATTGAAGTCTGTCACCTAATTAACCTGATATTGATAATCCTGGAATATTTCTGTAAAATTCCATTTTGAGGTCGGCTGTAAGCTTTCTTATGTGTTAATGGTCAGTGCACAATGATGGATCTTTTTTATGAAATATTCGAATTCTGTGAACATTAATGTCAGTATGTGATGTCTGTGGAGGCAGTGGTTGAGAGGAATTAGGACCTGCTGAAACCCAGTGTCTATTATAACCATGACTTCTGTAGACCTGCATCTCCAGGGGATATTGAGACGTAAGCTGAAAAAAATCCTTTAAAATTGCACTTTGCCCCCTCTGTAGTTTATTATGCCAGCACTTCCTAATGAAAATTTGAGTGTATTGTTTGCTTTTATGTTTTCAATTCTGACTTATTCTGTATTTTAGTGAAAATAAATGACATTGTGGGATTTCTTGCATGAAAAGGGGGGGGGGGGGCTTTAGTAGATGAAGTATATACGATGATATTCAGTTATTAATTACGGTAAGAATGGCCCTAAAATTCTTAGCTCTGAATTTTTAAAGTTAGTAACTAAGACTTGTGGAAAACACAGCTTTATAATGACACATCTTGACAATTTCTTCTGTAATTTCTATACGTTGTAACTCACTTCTGAGTAGGGAAGAGGAAGGATTTACTGAAGTACTGTGAACACTTGTAATAATGAATGTAACTCAATGCAATAGTTCTGGAATTCTCATTTTTTTTTCGTGTATAAGTACTGTATACCGTATATTATTTCAAATTTATAAACATACATTGTAAGTGTATTTAATAGTTTGTTAATACCTTCCGTGTGATACAGTGGATGCTCACAATAGAATACAAATTGATTTCTGTCATGTTATGTATACATTCTTTTTCTGTATTGTGTAGCATTGAATTGTGTAGAATAAGAAACTGGGGAATATCTGGTCTGTAATATATTGATAACCCCAGTATTGTGGTAAATTATTGATTGGATTGGATAATATAAATACTGGATTACATCTCTATCATTGGCTATTATACTGCTCAGTTTTGGGGACTGGTAATTAAAACAGTCTAACATTAAGCATTTACTAGAAAAACTCCACGTGATGTACAAAGACTGCCATGTAGCTAGAACTCCACGTGATGTACAAAGACTGCCATGTAGCTAAAACTCCACGTGATGTACAAAGACTGCCATGTAGCTAAAACTCCACGTGATGTACAAAGACTGCAATGTAGCTAAAACTCCACGTGATGTACAAAGACTGCCATGTAGCTAAAACTCCACGTGATGTACAAAGACTGCCATGTAGCTAAAACTCCACATGATGTACAAAGACTGCCATGTAGCTACAGACCAATTATAGAACAAGAAACTGTTATGCGGAGTAAACAGATCAAATATAGTCTGCCATGTGCAGTCCTCTATTTATAACTGTTGACCAAATATAGGCTGTTGTGTAGAATCTTAGAGATTTGTAGCTGCAAAAAAAAAATAGACCATTGACCAAATATAGATTGTCATTGGAATCCTCTATTTATAAGTTATTGACCAAATATAGACTAGTTGTCATGTGGAATCCTCTATTTATAGATTATTGACCTAATATAGACTAGTTGTCATGTGGAATCCTCTTACAGCATCCAAAATCTTCCAATGTAGCTATTGAATCAGACATAAAATGCCTTAGTAGCATAATTAATTAAAATTCTGCTTCATTCTGAGCCAGGTATGAATTCCATTTCTTCTTCCTAAGTGTTACTTTTCTGTCAGCTTGTGTCTTTGTCCAGTTCTCTTAAATCTGAGATTGACACATCATAGAAAGAGTAAACCCCATTTATAAGGTAAAGTGTTATGAGACAAGCTGAGCTGGGGTACAGGGCAGCCATTAACTGTGACAGTACATTTAATACAGGGGGCACCTGCTCTCTTGTGATGAGGTAGATCATTGTGTGTTCTGAATATTGTGGTAAATGTTACAATACAGTGTAGTAGTTTGTTTGATGTGATCAGCAGTTATGATAGATACATTATGCAGATTTCATTAACTATACCAGCTTTAGCCTTCAGAAGATTTTTCAAAGAATAAAAACAATAGATCTCAGGGTGCAGAGAGAATCTGTTATTATTGATAAGAATAAAGTCACCAGATATGAAGACAAGGTCACACTTGGTCACAACTTTTACAAACTGTCTGTATGGTGTAAAGAGTATGTCATATGACAGGAGTTTATTGTCATAACAATAGAAGAGTCTTAGTCCTTGTTAATTTAACATGTTGTTTGTGGGTTTAATATTTTTAAAGTCGACAATTCAATTTCGATTCCTTTGTTATAATAATAACAGATGTGTGTAGTAAGTAATTACTGCTAACATTAATGAGGTTGTGTCTGGGAGAATTGGTAAACTATTGATTCACCGGATTGTCGATCATCCTGTTGATAAATACTGTTTTATGCACAAGGCGGACATAATGATCTATTTACATGTACAGGCAGGTGACATTAAGGTATCCTCATACATAAATTATTTGTGGGAAAATTAGCCACCATGTGTGTGTGAGTGCATTGTAGTAAAACACAGATCTAGTATTTTTACATTGTAGCTATTTTTACTTATAAGGAATACAGTTATTGTTAATGTCAGCTCTCCCTATAACATTATCAAGGTGGGGCTTAGAACTCCCAGAGTCCAGGAAAAGGACTGTACTAGAATTTTTTCTCTGCTGACAGATAACTTTGCAAATAATAATTATCCAATAGTTGATATATTAAACACCATGCACAGATCTCCTACATATAGCATATTTTCCCTGTTAAGTCCCCTTACCCCTAGAAGCATCTACTGCAGTGTTTTCTTATTGTCTGAGAAGAAAGGCATCTCTAATTTTTAACTTAATGTTTCATCAGAGTTTTCCATGTCCATCAGATCTACATGCGAATCTGATTGAAAGTCAAAATGTGTAATTGAAATTGACCATGCCATTGATCTGTGTGAGCAGAAATAAAGTGAGGACATGCAGTTTTACCCACAAAACTTTTGATGGATAGATTTAGAACTTAAATTTGAATTAAAATTTGACACAATTGCAACGAGTTTTAGGTTACCAAATACATGTCAAGATCTTATTGCTATAGACTAAGCACCAGGTACTTATCAGGGAAAATACTGTATCTGAAGTTTTTTTTTACTTCTGGGGAGATCGTTTACATATTTACTGTGTAATTATAATCAGCTGACTATCAGCTGATGCTGTAAGTGTTAATCTTTCTGGAGAACCTGTATACTTGACAATCACTTAGGCCTCTTCTGACCCGATGTTGATATTTACTTTATTGTAGATAATTGTTTTATCCTCTGTAAACACGATAAACAAGTACATATTGTTCTCTAAGTGGGTGAAAAATAATCAAGATATAAGGATATAATATCTAATTTTATTGTTAAAAAACAGTTTTTATTCCATGCATTCTATATCAATATTTGATATGCTTCTTCTAGTGATTCATCAAGGCCTACATGTTTATGACATCAGGTCATGCCTCTCTCTGGCCCCACGGTGAACAGGTGCCTGTTGTACATTAAACAAATAGAAAGGCACACAACTTTCAGCAGATACATATAAGAATAATAATTAAAAAAATGAGTATATGTGGTACTGGTAACTGCATGTTACAGATGTTATTTTGATGCCTATTCTGTATCCAAGTCCTAGTCTTTTAGTTTGTTCAAGTATATAACAAGTTTCCATCTTAATCTCTGTTCATATTGGTCCACCTAAGTTTATAACTTTTCTTTGTCCACATTTGTTTATCCTAGAAGAGTGTGATCTACTTAAATTGTTTCTCAATGTGCTTAAAATCTAACTGCATGTCCGTAAGATTGTATAATCTTGAAAATTATAACATGAAAAAGATGATGATAACAGACATTGATTTATAAACACCAGTATACTTTTTAACCAGTGAAATTTGCTATATTACAAATATAAACAGGACACAAATTTTGAAAATAGAAATCCTAATTAATTTGAAATGATGTTTTAAATGTTCTAATAAAGTTGGCTTGTTTTATAACATATCTATGGTTTTTTATCATTACAGCGTAATTAATTATCATGATTATAATCAATTCATATGAGACTTGTGTTGATAATTTCCTTATGATAAAAAATTATAAATAATAGATGCCATCTATGGAATTTTATCTTTGTGTCAGTGCCAAATGTGAAAAAATAACAACTATTGCTGACTGAGATCAATTGAATAGACATGATTCTTGTAGAATGTTGTAGAGTGAGACCTATTTCTGTATGTGATTAATATCACCGATTGTTTTTAATTTTTGTAGAATATCACCCAATGAATGATGGCCTTGGATCAGAGACAACAGAGGAAGTGGAACCTCAGAGACAGAGAGTGATATACATCAATGCCCCACAGCCAGTCAAATACTGCTACAACAAAATCAGGTATAAGTCAAATACTGCTGGAACATTAGTCAAATACTGCTACAATAAAATCAGGTACTAGTCAAATACTGCTAGAACAGTAGTCAAATACTGCTACAACAAAATCAGGTACTAGTCAAATACTGCTAGATCAGTAGTCAAATACTGCTACAACAATAGACAAATACTGCTACAAAAATAGTCAAATACTGCTACAACATTAGTCAAATACTACTACAATAAGATCAGGTACTAGTCAAATATTGCTATAACAAAATCAGGTACTAGTCAAATACTGCTACAACATTAGTCAAATACTGCTACAACAATAGACAAATATTGCTACAAAAATAGTCAAATACTGCTACAACATTAGTCAAATACTCCTACAACAATAGACAAATACTGCTACAAAATAGTCAAATACTGCTACAAAAATAGTCAAATACTTCTACAATAAGATCAGGCAGTAGTCAAATACTGCTACAATAAGATCAGGTACAAGCCAAATACTGTTACAACAATGATCAAATACTGCTACAACAAGTTCAAATACTGCTAGAGCAGTTGTTAAATACTAGTCAAATATTGCTACATCAGTAGTCAAATACTGCTAGAACAAAATCAGTTACTAGTCAAATACTGTTACAACAAAATCAGGTACTAGTGAAATAATGCTACAGTAGTAAAAATCCACTACAACTAAATTGGCTACTAGTCCAAAACTGCTGCAACAAAATTTGGGTATTGCTCAAATATTGCTGCATCAAAATTTGGTGGTGATTTTCTACAATTTCAGTTATTAATTTGTTTTTATTTTAAACAGCACAGCCAAATACAGTTTTTTGACCTTCCTTCCTAAGTTCCTCTTTGAGCAGTTTAGAAAATATGCCAATATCTTCTTCCTTTTCATCTCATTACTACAGGTAAGTTATTTCTTCTCATTACTACAGGTGAGTTATTTTGTAAAGCTTTCAAACCAGGATAAGAAAAGTAAATACAACTTCCTGGATTTTTTTCTCTAAACAAAATGAATTAAGGTAACATGTGTTGACACATTTTCTATTGAAAGAATTATTTCTCTCTGAAAAAATATACAGCATATGAAGCAAAATGAGAGCTTTTTTACTTTTGTTTAGAAAGTAAAGTTAGTACGTACTTTTGTAGCAAATTCCGACTGTGTCCCCCACGGGGCGGTACACCACGGCGGTCCCTCTGTTGGTCATACTTAGCATCTCAGCCGTCAAGGAAATCATTGAGGATTATGTAAGTACCATGGAATGGGAGGGGGTAACATTGAGGATTATATAAGTACCATGGAAAGGGGGGATATCATTGAGGATTATGTAAGTACCATGGAAAGAAGGGGGGGTTAACAATTATGTTGTTCTAGTCATTGATTATTATATAAAAAATCTGAGACAATTGCTAGCACGTTCCAAGTGCTTCATTGTAAAATTTTATTTCAGTTGATTTTTATTCATATGCTTCTTATTTTATGTTTTTCAGAAAAGACACAGACAGGATGATGAAGTAAACAACAGAGAAGTTTTAGGTAATGTAAAATGAAAAAAAAAGTTTTAGGGTCCAGTTTCTGAATTAAAGAGCCGCAGAGAATTTTGCTCTTTGAGGTGTCACTGTTCTTATTTGATATAATAGTGTTTTCCTCTTATATATCAAGCACAGTTTTGGTTTGTAACACAGATAATGTCAAAATGGGTTGACTGTAGCTGACTGACTATCAATACTTGTGTCAACTTCCATATTATCAACTCTTGAATTTTTGTATTTTGTCATTCCACTTCAAGATAAGATTTGATATCTAAAGATGCTGTGAATTATTGTTGATTAACTTTGAAAAAAAAACAACAATTTTTACCATGTTTTTGGTCAATTTGGAGAGAATATGTCAATATAATATGTCTAGAATTTTTCTTTAACCAGAGAATTTCCCTATAATTTTCTCTCATGATGTGCATGTAGCTTTTGATATTGATGTGAATGATTCTTTTTCATAGTTTTACGGAATGGAGTATGGACAAGGGCCCGCTGGATGGACATCCTTGTGGGTGACCTTGTCAAGGTCACTAGTGGTCAGTTCTTCCCAGCTGACATGATATTGTTGTCATCAAGGTATAATGCTACCTATCAATACTGACTTAAAAATCTATAAATAATCTAATAATTAATTTATGCATGTCAAAATTAATATTATGACAACCATATGTTGCCTCAGCTCTACGTTTAAGTTTATTATTTTTTTTTTTCAGTGAACCACAAGCAATGTGTTATATAGAAACATCCAACTTAGACGGAGAAACGAATCTCAAAATTAGACAGGTACTGGGTAGTGACCATTTAATCTTGATGTCTGACTGTTAATACAGTGACATTTTCCTTATTTCTACTTTCTATTTACTGTGAACCAGTATTCCTTTGTTACTACCAGCTATTTTTCTCTTTTGCTGTTTGTCATTAAAATACAATTTCTTGTTGTTGTAATTAATCAGTACAGGAAGCTTTATACACATCCAAGGAAATTCATTAATGCTGCTGCAATAAAAAGAATAAACAAGAAAAATAATAAGACTTCTATAATGAGCAGACATGAACTTTCTCCTGTTGAACATATGTAAATTGTTTTCTGTGCAGGGTTTACCTCAGACCTCCAAACTGTTGACACACAATGACCTCCTTGATCTGGCAGGGACGGTGGAATGTGAACTCCCAAACAGACATCTGTATGACTTTGTGGGTAACATCCGACCCTCGGGAAGAATGTAAGTGAAGGGAGTCTATCTTGTATCATAATCCCCCACCCCATAACTAGTCACACTGTCTGATATCTAACTATTCACCTCCCAAACAGACATCTGTATGACTTTGTGGGTAACATCCGGCCCTCAGGGAGAATGTAAGTATATCATAACCCCCCCACCACCACCACCTTATAACTAGTCACTAATTTGTCTGATATCAGTCTATTCAGTTAGACATCTGTATGACTTATGGGTAACATCCTGCCTTCAGGGAGAATGTAAGTGTAGGGGGGTTATTCCTTTTTCATGATGTCCCCACCCTATAATTAATCTTGACTGAGGTTGAGGTTCTAGAATCACCCAGTCTATCCAGCTGTTTAGCTGTTCATCTGTCATTACACAGTTTTGGTGTCCTTGAAAATATTTGATAATTTTCTTTTCAAACTTTATAGTGTAAAAACCATACATATTAATAAAAGCTCTAGAATGTAGTGTAGATGGTTAAAATTGTGTTGATCTTATAGAAAATTGAATAAAAAATTGAATAAAATGTTTCATTTTACGCACAATTGAATTGTTCTTGTTATTGGTAGAGCAATATTTAGTTGATTTCAAAACATGCATATCATTAATTGGTTATGAAAACAACAGTTGTCTGGCCCTGTAATAATTTGACATTTTCATGACAGGGCCATTCCTTTGGGACCAGACCAACTCCTACTGAGAGGAGCCATGCTGAGAAACACAAAATGGATATTTGGTAAGACAAACTATTTCATATAGTGCAATCTTAATGTCATACATGTATATTTAATTCAAGTCACTCAGATCACTGTTCTAATCTGTTACTGATTGGCATTGTTTGGTGTGTGATGATCCTAAGCTTTTGAAGCACTGGACCAATTTCATCCAAATTTGGTATATAGGATAAATTGGTATAGCAGAACTTAGATAAAGAATTTACTGGTCTCTGCCTCCCAGGAGCCTAAGGGATAGGGCCAAAACCACTTTTAAAATTCTTCTCTTTAATACTCCTGAACACAAAGCTGTAAAACTGTTAACATGATTATGATAAGCGGCAATGCCTCCTCGTAATATTGAAATTCTTGGTCCCATGTTTCAGGCTTTAGTTAACTTTAAGGGGCATTCTGTTTCACCAAATTTAGAAATAATAATAACTATCTATTATTTAATAAAAAGGTGGTGTACTAATTGTATATTGAAGGCATTGTCATCTATACGGGTCATGATAGTAAACTGATGCTTAACTCCACATCTGCCCCCCTGAAGAGGTCTCACGTAGAGAAAGTCACCAACATACAGGTAAACAATTCATGCTTCTGATTCTTAACCACTGTCATCATCATTACCGGGTATTTCACTCTGTGAGCTACAGATGTCAACATCTACTTGTAGATCCTGTCTATTTTGTCTATTTGACATAAATCAGGTCTATTTTGTCTACTAGACATCTAGATCCTGTCTATTTTTGTCTACTTGTAGATCCTGTGTATTTTTTGCCTACTTGTAGATCCTGTCTATTTTGTCTACTTGACATCTAGATCCTGTCAATTTTTTGCCAACTTGTAGATCCTGTCTATTTTGTCTATTTGTAGACCTTGTCTATTTTTGTCTACTTGTAGATCCTGTTCCTGTTTGGAGTGTTGATTTTCCTCGCCCTGGCCAGCACCATAGCCAACAAGGTATGGACGTCCTGGCACGTGGACAAGGACTGGTATCTAGCTTACCAAGGTAGGGAACACTTCATGTGTAACAATGTCTATACTTGTTACAATATCTGTGAGCTGTATAACCAGGTATGATTTCTTTTCAGACTCTCCGCCCAGTAACTTTGGCTATAATTTCCTGACCTTCATCATTCTGTACAATAACCTCATTCCCATCAGTCTCCAGGTCACGCTAGAGGTCGTCAAGTTCATACAGGCCATCTTCATCAACTGGGTCAGTCTCTCAGTTCTAAACTCTGATTAGTTTAAAACATTAAGAATGTTACTTGAGAAATACCTTTACATAGGGTGTCTTTGGTTTGTTGACATGTAGTATATATGTCATGTGATGATAATTTCCAGGATTTGGACATGTACCATGAGGAGACAGATACCCCCGCCATGGCCCGCACCTCCAATCTCAATGAGGAGCTAGGACAGGTAATCCCCCTCCTAATCAAGTCATTACTCATTAATCCAGATATTATTCAACTTTGTCTGAGAGATACATGTATATACATACTCTATATCTCTATTCTTTTTTATTGATTTTATTTGTCATGACGTTGCACATGTTATATTTATATTGCTAAATTATTGCATGTTCAAATATTGGTTCAACTTGATTCTTTAGGTGATCTCTTGATTGTCTTGTTTATAGGGTAGCAACATGTGAAATGTTTGTTAATCTCTTGTCCTGGTTATGTTTGTAGGTGAAGTACATATTCTCTGACAAGACTGGGACACTGACTCGGAATGTTATGGTGTTTAAAAAATGCAGCATAGCGGGAGTTCCATATGGGTAAATGTTACTGGGTATTTATGTCAGTTCTCCCTAAAGCTATGTAACTATCAATATTCTCTATAGATTGATAATTTAAAAGCTGTTTTAAAATGTTTGTGTTATTTGCACAATTAGTGATTTATTTTATTTTTTTTCAGAACTGATGAAGAAGGCATAGAAGGCTTTAAGGACCCCACTCTTTTAGAGAATTTAAAAAGCAACCATGTTAGTTTATCATCATTTATTGGAGATAATAATCACCTATATAGACTTTAACCTGTAGAAATTTCATTATTACCCCTTCGTGATGTAGCTTATGAATTAATTTCTACAGGTGACCGCTCCAGTCATCAGGGAATTCCTGACGTTAATGGCCGTGTGTCACACAGTGGTGCCAGAAAATAAAAACGGAGACAAAGATTCAGTGGAGTATCAGGCTTCCTCTCCAGGTATTCATAACAAGCATTAAATGTTCAAGATTTGTCAATCCTAATCTCCATTTCTCAAAAAGATATTTGATTCTTGATCTAGTTACTAACATACAGTTTAAGAGTGATTTGTGTAAATGTGAGGTGTAAACTTTACAAATTTTACATGACTGTACAATAAAACATGTTTATAACTGAGTGCCAGGGGCAGATGATTTTGCTTCATTACAAGTGTAATTTGTTTACCAGTTCACTTTTTGATACATTTTAAAGTCAAGAGGAATGAAAATCAATCTGCTGTAAGTCTAAATTCATTTTAAGGAAAATGGTTATGATGTTATTTATATGCTATTTGTATTTTAATTTTAGATGAAGGTGCTCTTGTAAAGGGTGCCAGGGAACTCGGCTACTTCTTCAAAACAAGGACCCCAGATGCAGTTACAATAGAAGTGGTCAGTCACTCAGACCAAAATCTGTTTTACAAAGATGTATATGTATTATTACAGAGTACATGATGTGAAAATTCTTTGTTTTGAAAATGAGCATCAAATTATATCAATGACATTACGTGTATATACATGTATGTGCCCAAAACTTAGTTTAATATTCTTCCTTGTAGGCAGGGGAGGATGAAGTTTATGAGATTCTCAATGTTTTAGAATTCACAAGGTGGGTGTGAAATTTGTGAGGTATCCCATTTAGGGTGAAAGTATTTCCAGATTTTGACATATTTTTGTTTATTTTACTTTAGCACAAGGAAGAGGATGTCAGTTGTAGTCAGAACTCCATCAGGACAAATCAAACTCCTGTGTAAAGGGGCGGTATGTATCACAGTTATATCTCAATATAAACAGCTTTATATGTTAATTACTAGACAGAGAATGTCTCAGGACAAATCAAACTCCTGTGTAAAGGGGCGGTATGTATCACAGTTATATCTCAATATAAACAGCTTTATATGTTAATTACTAGACAGAGAATGTCTCAGGACAAATCAAACTTTTTTGTAAAGGAGCCGTATGTATCACCATTATATCTTAAGAAATATGAAAGGACTCTGTGATACTGATTTTTATCTTATATTACATGTATATTGTTCAGTGTTGATTTGCATATATAGTGTATTGTGGGGAACACAGTCAAATAAAATTAATATACTCTCAGAGTAGAAATTAAAACAAATAATAAAGATGGCAAGGTTTAAAACATGATAGTATCATTGATTCATGAAATAATGCTGTGTTTTAGTCATTTTGATTATTTAGCTACTCTCGAAGTGCTATGTTTTCATTTTCCTTTGGGCTTGGTCATTATGGTTTTTATCAGGTTGCTAAATCATTGTATTGACTTAAACAAACGGAAATGGTCAAAGAATATTACTAGCCATACTCCTGAATTGCTAATATTTCAGCACAAAACATTTGCCATTTGCTTGCTTGCTTTTATCAATGCAGTACATTGTATACATATATGTATGCTGTTACTCTTTTTAGGATACAGTCATTTATGAGAGATTGGATGATAAACAAATGTACCGAGATATTACTATACAGCATTTGGAGGAGTTTGCTTCTTTAGGTTTGTTTATACATGTATTAAATAAATGTATTAATGTGCAGAGATAACTATACTTACATGTATACATGTATTTTCATAAGTAAATGTTTGAAAACAGCAGTGTGACTGTACCAAAATCTTCCTGTAATTCACTAGATAGTACAGTACTTGTTGAATAATTTTCAGGTCTACGCACATTATGTATAGCCTCTACTGATGTGACAGAGGAATTCTACGATGAATGGAAGCACACATATTACAAAGCCAGTACCTCATTACAGAACCGAGACAAGAAACTGGAGGAGGCAGCAGAGCTTATAGAGAGGGTATGGTGTATACAGTGTTTATAGAATGGCTCACTGTATGGGTTACCTTAATATTACAGTGTTAATAGAATTGCCCTGCATGGCAACCTCTATATTTCACTGTTATAAGAATAGCCCTCAATCTAATTAAAATCAGACTTCTTAGATCCGCGCCGTATACACTCTTACGCAGAGTGTATATACGGCGCGGATCTAAGAAGTCTGATTTTAATTAGATTGGAATAGCCCTCTGCATGGGAAATTTCAATACTTGCTGAATAGATAAAATTTGAAATATTATAATACTTAATTTTCTTCCCTCAGAACCTCCACCTTTTGGGTGCTACAGCCATAGAAGATAAACTTCAGGAGGTATGTATATAGGGATACATTATTGAAGATTTGGTTTTATGCTTCAGAGCTACATGTAGTTAAAATAATTAATACATGTTACTTGCTAAAGAAAGTCCATATTCACTTAATTATGAAAATTTTAAAGCTGCTGTCAACATGGAGAAATCATTTTCTTACATTCTGAATACAGGATTAATACTCCTTTGAAAATTAGTGCTTTCACAGTATTACTATATTTCACTATATTTACAAATGTTTGTAATACAGGGTGTGCCAGAAACCATCTCCAATCTAGCCAAAGCAGATATTAAAATCTGGGTCCTTACAGGAGACAAACAAGAAACAGCCATAAATATAGGTAAAGACTGCTTCTAAATCTGTCATTAAAATACAGTCAACAAACAAGAAACAGCCATAAATATAGGTAAAGACTGCTTCTAAATCTGTCATTAAAAAACAGTCATGAAGGACAGGAAAGATTGGCTTTAATATTAGTCTTGTTTTCGTTTATCAGAATATTATAACTGTGATATTTTACAGGATATTCTTGCCAACTGTTAACTCAAGGGATGCCACTCCTGATCATAAACGAACACAGCCTGGATGTAAGTATAGACATACACAAATAGAATGTGGTAAAAGTACAAGTACTAAAAATCACATTTCACAAGATGAAAATTTTCAGCATTCATGTATTTTTGTTGTTGATAATTTTGGATAATTGATTAGAAAAGTAATTACCCCTGTTGTAAATTGTAGGGTACCCGCGAGTCCCTGAGGAAGCATGTCCAGGACTTCGGTGACCTCCTCTGTAAGGAGAATGACGTCGGCCTTATTATTGACGGACAGGTAGGTGACCTTTGACCCTGACCTATATATAGGTGTGCCGTGTTTAGTTGACCAGTATGCGATTGCATCTTGTTTATAACCATCACATGCACTAGCAGCTGTGTTGTGTGTTTTGTGTTAAACATGTATACAACAGATCTGGTTCCATTATCTAAAGAGATTAATATTAGCATAAAATCTTGCATATTGGGTAGAGCTACTCAAAAGATACACACTGCATACAACATCAAGGTAATTCTTTTGTACATGTATGTTTATGATAAGCAACTTTTCTTTTCTTTTTTTTTTTAAATTTTTTTCTTACTTCTCTACATATAAGAAGTAGGTGTAATCATGTTTATTTGTGTCATTTAAACAATGTAATTAATGATAGTTCATATTAATCAGGATATTTCTATTTAATAAATGTTTATCTAACTTACTATTAATTGATTTGATACATGTATTTAACAGACATAATCAGTATTAACTCAGAAGTCACAATAAAGCTGTATATTTTGATGGTGTTATTAATCATTAACTGAATTCTACCAGCACTTGCTTCACAGTTTGATTTGTCTCCCTTTATTTTGCCTCTTCAGACTCTGGACTTTATATTTCCGTCACATGAATGCCTTAAAAAGCCAATCAAAAAGCGGCTAGGAAGAAAAAAGGTTTTATAAGTGTTTGTTTACAATGTCTTGTGCATTATGCAGAACTGTTACCAGCTATACTTCCTACACCCCCTTCACCTGTTCACTGGCAGATGGAATTCTGAAATGTATCAAATTTTCTCCATAATTAATCTGATTTTTATTTACATCTAGTTTAACAACAGCCATTTGTCTAATGCAGAGGACATTTTTGCAAGCTTCAAGTTTTTACATTGCATGTCTGCATCTTGGGTAGAAAATTTACCTTGAAAATTAGTTTGAAGAAAAAGGGAAAGGTAGTCAAACAGTATGTGTAAGAGGTACATGTAATTAAAATTATAATTAGGAAGTAGAAAGAGGTCAAAACCAGACCTAAATAAATACAGGCCTGGTAAAGAAGGATAAATGTCAAATAATGGATCAATTCACACAAACATAGGTAGAGGAATTCCCAATCATCCTATTGATAATGGCACAAAAATGGAGTAGTACATATAGTTACCAACAATATATTAACATACCAACTTTAACATGTTGACAATACTAATTCTTAATAATATTGGCATGAATTCCCATGATATTGTGTATTTTTGTTGTTTATTGGTATTATAATAAGTTTTGTATAGCAGTATTTACAGAAATATTTGTACTAATACAACTTGGAGAGTGGAGTTTCATAGTAAAGAAAAAAATAATGGTTTTTCCATAAAATATAGCATATAATTGCAAAACCAGCTTGTTTGGAATTTTAATTCTGGGATGAATAGAGGGAACAAGGCAAAATAAAGGAAAAAGAGAAGGAGAATATCAATGCAGTATCAAACATACATATTCTTGAGTTAAGAATGAAAACATTTGTTTTTGCATGTTTGAGGGAGTGGGGGGGGGGTAATCTGTTGTTGCCCGACTGCTTGTTCCTGTGTTGTACAGCTTTTTTTTCATGTTAAGACTCGCATTGGACGAAATGTGACTCGGATGAAGATTTAAGTACCAGTCCACATAAAAATCAGACAAAACTGTAAAAAAGTGATACATGAAGGTTTTCAGAATTTGATGATTTTCCACTCATAGATTTATTTTGAAGTATGAACAATGTATGTAAAATGAAAAATGTTTTGAATCATGGTAACCATGGAAACCCGGCCAAAGAAATTTCCTTAGCAACGGGCGGATTTTTCAGTGTTGAAGGACAAAAAATCACCTATATTTGAGGCTTAAAATAACACGTAAATACCATGAGAATTATTCTTACTTATGGGTGTAATAAAGATACACATTTATTGTGTTCTAATAATGTAATAAAAATATTTAGGTCCTAAGTCAGTTCTGTGGTAGACATTGGAAGGGACACATGTTTTACAAGTTTTGCTGATTCAGCATTTTTCGTGATTTTGGCAATATTCAAGGCCAAATTTTAAAAATGGCCAGATTAATACAGTTGTTGCATGTATCTCACATTAAGGCACATGTATCTCTCTTTTAGAATTTGAAGTCAAATCCGTGGGCTCTTTTGAAAATCGAATCTGTCGCCTAGCAACAAAAATGGGCTTTTTGATGCATAAAATGAGAAACAATGTAAAAAGTTTACGGAAAAATCAAATGAACGGTTATTTATGATAAACGAGATACACATTTTAAAATAGTATAATTAAATTCGGTCTTCCTAGCACATTATTGAATATTGCATAATTCTTTATCTCCATAGCAACGGCAGGTTCTCCATAGCAACAAGGCAAAGAAAGGTAATTCGTGTATTCGTGTAATCTTATAAGGCTTATTCAAAATAAGTCAGAAAAATCCGGTTGAGCAAAGTTGACAATGAAATGTTGGTCAATCTTAATTTTTTTTTGTCTTTAATCAACACATGGCAACGATTCCCATGGAGTGCATGGCAACCAATGTACCCTATTCCTCCTGTAAAGAGATTTGACTTTTGGATCAGTGTTCGTCATGGAAATGAATATTAAATTAATGTGTTGATGATTGTATTTGTGGAGAGTGCTGAAAAAATATATGAAATGTACCATCAATTGTTGTCATGGCAACAACTACATGTGAGTGAATTTAAAATGGGCGAGTTCAAAAAACACAGTATAAATTCTTAAACAGAACTAGTACTGTGACTGGGCGAATTTTAAACGGGGCAAAATTTCTTGTATGTGTGAACGGGCAAAAATCATATGATACCAAATTAAGGATGTTTTCCATAGATAATGTTTTAATGTAACTTGTACTTGTACGATATTGTGGATTAGATTCAAGACACTCACGGTGCATGGTTTCAATGGCTGCATTTTATTTCCGGAACTGTTTTCATTTTCGATATTTTCAAGTTTTCATCTCTGACATTTTTCAAGCAGTACTTTTCTGCAATGAAAGTAGCTAGGATTTAAGATTTAACTCATGAAAAATATCACAGAATAAATCATGAATAAATCATTGAAATCCAAAAAAATGAGTTTTGCAATTGAATTTGGGTTATGTTTTAAACCAAAGGCCATGGCATGGGGGGGGGGGGGAATTAGGTTCGATATTCAGTACCAATTTTTTTTTCCAAACAGCACTTTGAATTCCTAATTTTAAACCTATTCTGCAACATGTCTGTGGAAAATGGGGGGCTAAACCTACGCAGCAATGTTCAATGTCTATACTAGGAAAAGGTTAGGCCCCTAGCCCCCCCCCCCCCCCCCGGTTCCGACGCCTGTGTAGTTTGGTAACTTTATAACCATAGACAGAGTAGGGGAATAAAACAAAATGCATTTCAACCACTCTAAGTAATATTCAGCATTACTCAGTAGTGTCCCCACCCCACAAGAACCCCTGACCCTCAGGTCCACACATTTCACAATTCATGCTCATCATAAATGTTTGATTAACATCATGGAGTGGATTTCAAAGAAATAATTCATTTTTAGTATATAGTCAAAGACACCCCACCCCCACCCCAGCCCTGTATGATACCCCTGTTCCGGGGGGCTTGGAATTCACAGTTCTGGAATAACGATCATAGCAATATCATAACTATATGTCTGTAGTCAGTTTGTTAAATACCTGGGAACAAAGAAGAAGATTAATTATCAAAGATTTATTGCAATTTCACCATTTGATGATTAGAGCCCCACCCTAAGTAACACCAGAAATCCTGGTCCTTGCGCCATGAAATTCACAACCTGATCCTTTGGCCATGAAATTCACAATTTTCAAAGAGGCACTCTTCCTCATTGTAACTACGCATGTAGTTAGTTGTTTAATACCCAGGGACAGAGAAGAAGATTTTCCATTTTAAAAATGCATGTTTACGATATAATCAAAAGAGCCCTGCACCCTAACACCAGAACTCCTGACCCTGGGGCCATGAAGTTCACAATTTTAGATGAGGCACCCTTCCTCATCATAACTATGTATTTTTCAAAGAATTAATGCATGTTAACTATATAATCATTTAAGCCCCGTCTTAACACCAGAACCCCTGTCCAAAGGCCATGAAATTCACTACTGTAGAACAGGAATTATTTCTCATCGTAACTATGTACTTAATTAATTTTACCCAGGAGCAGAAAAGAAGATTTTCAAAGAAATAATGTATTTTTCACTATATAATCTATTTAGCCCAGCCCTAGCATATAGAACCCCTGACCCTGAGGCAAAGAATTTTACTGTTTTGGTACAGTGTAGAGGACTCAATGCTTATTACAATCATTTCTACAGTTTCACTGCTTGATGTCTAGAAGTAAAGAAGATTTTCAAAGACTGCATTAATTTTAGTGGTTTTGGTCATACCCCTCAGGCCCCAGGGACCCTGAAATTCACAATTTTGTTTTCCTCTTTTACCCATAGATGGGTTATTTGAAATTTGGTTGAAATTGGTTCAGTGGTTCCAGAGACGAAGCTAAAAATGTTCAAATGTTTACCACCGCCGAATGACGTACGACGACGAACGAACGGAGATAGCAATAGGTCACCTGAAAGACTCAGGTGACCTGAAATTCTCAGAGGCACATCTCCCTTTTAAAGTGCAGTTTTAAGTTTGAACTCAGATATGCAAGGATGGAAATTAAAAGGCATACAGAAACCACCTCTGGTAAATGCAGACCCTTAGTAAACAATTTCGGGGGTAGGGGTGGGGGTGGGGTGGGTGTTACAACCATATATTTTCAGTTTGGGCACTATCAACAACCGAAAATTCCTTGGCAAACAAACCAAAAAATAGAAGATCGTCAGATATTATTATTATTGAGGGGGCACATGTATATTGTAGTGAAGTTTTCAATAGTATTCTATAGGTAAGTATCGGCTTAATAGCCTCTCTCTCTCTCTCTCTCCCCCCCCCCCCCCCCCCCCCGCTTCTTACACGGCTATAGGAAAAAAAACAATCACCATTGAAGGAATTCTCAACAGACAGTAGAATGTTTTTAATACGAAGACATCACAATTACGCCTGTACATGTAGCACAGGGAAAGTTATTAATATAAGTGTTATTGCTACTTGTATAAGTATGTATTGAATTATAAATGTTTTTATTTTTTGAACATGAAATAAATTTATTTAAAATTTTATTTCCATCTGTTTGGCAAGCAAAAAAATTGACAGAAAGGGATCCTGCAGATATCCAAGAAATACAAAAAATGTCGGAAATGAAATAAAATTGTCGGAATTGAAATTTTAAGCATGTCGGAAATCCTATGCAAAATACTGGAAATTAAATGCAGTGAAAGAAAACATGAATATGAAATGAGCAAGCACACAAAATGTTTATCTAGCATATATTGTGTTCATTTGAGATAATTTCCATTTTTCAAAAGATAAGATATTTATAAGCTTGTATCTTTAACTTGTTGTTGGGAAGCTGACACTTATTCAGTTCACAAGGAATCTGTAGCTCTGGAGCTTCAAACGCTATTACCCAGAGAACAGGCCCATAGCAACGCGTGTCAAAGTAGTTTGTTAGTGTAGATTCAAGTATGCATAGATTCAAGTTTGTTCAAATCATCCCCCCCCTCTTTTAGGATCGGGACTACTTAGGCATTTACTGGATTGATTTTCCCTAGCCACAGTGCTCAGGTGAGCGATGTGGCCCATGGGTCCCGTGTTACATGGATGAGTTCGATGTCAATTGTTTTGTTTTTGTTGCATATTTCCATTTTAAGATATGAACTAACCGGATACTTGAAGATGACCCTCTGACTATCGTTTGCATAATTTTTGAAATATGTTTGCACTACATTAATGCAAATCTCACCAAACAACATACAAAAATAAAGTTTCTACTTGTGTGACTAGCCATGTTTTAAATTCATTTGCATTTGTTCTAGCTTGGACATCTTGCAATATTTCTTTCAAATGGTGTAAACTTCAATTTTACGTAAATAACCGTAACTGACTTATTTTGATTTATGTTAATGTGCCGCGTCGCCCTCATGGAGCAGTGGTTAGAGCGTCTTCACTAGATTCACGAAGTAAGGAGCTGATCATTACGTCGCGGGTTCGAATCCCACTGTGGGACGCAGTAGGTGCTACCTTTGAGCTACCGCGAACGGTTCTTTTCGTTTGAAAAAAAAACTCTCCAATCTATAAGTATCAACAGAATAATTAAAACCTGATCTTCCTATTCAATTGGAAATATCATTGGAAATGTTTCCATAGTGACGTTATTCATTTTATTTATCTATTTATTTTCATGAGGAATTAATTCATGCATTGTAATACTTTCCGAGAAATCTGTGACGAGTGCCTAATCTTTCAATATTATGAATAACGACTACAGAATATCCCACACTAAAAATGTAACATTGTTTGCTATGTGCTAGAAATAGTTGTTATGGATTAAATGAGTTTAAAAATACTTTCGAAATTAAACAAACATATCAACATCATTTTTTTTCTTCATGACGTGATTTAGATAAAGATTTACAGGTAACATGAATACGCGTCAAACTTTCTTTGTGTCGTTGCTAGGGGAGTGGTGTTGTTGCTATGGAAATAAGTCATTGAACAATATTCAATAACTTGATACAACATTTTAAAGTCTTTCCGAACTATCAACATGCAATTATCAGCATATTACTTGAATATCCAATTCCATGACAAACAATACAATCCCAAAGTCAAATCTGTTTTACAGGAGACATAGGAACTTTGGTTGTCATGTACACGGAATCCTTGCCATATGGGTTGATTAAGTACCAAAAAAATAACAATAATAAAATCAACATTATATTGTCAATTTTGCTCAACCGGATTTTTCTGACTTATTTTGAATAAGCCTTAATAAAATTACACGAATACACGCCAAAATTACCTTTCTTTGCCTTGTTGCTATGGAGAACCTGCCGTTGCTATGGAGATAAAGAATTATGCAATATTCAATAATGTGCTAGGGAGACCGAATTTAATTATACTATTTTAAAATGTGTATCTCGTTTATCATAAATTACGTTCATTTGATTTTTCCGTGAACTTTTTACATTGTTTCTCATTTTATGCATCAAAAAGCCCATGATTGTTGCTAGGCAACAGATTCGATTTTCGAAAGAGCCCACGGATTTGACTTCAAATTCTAAAAGAGAGATACATGTGCCTTAATGTGAGATACATGCAACAACTGTATTAATCTGGCCATTTTTAAAATTTGGCCTTGAATATTGCCAAAATCACGAAAAATGCTGAATCAGCAAAACTTGTAAAACATGTGTACCTTCCAATGTCTGTCACAGAACTAACTTAGGACCTAAATATTTTTTATTACATTATTAGAACACAATAAATGTGTATCTTTATTACACCCATAAGTAAGAATAATTCTCATGGTATTTACGTGTTATTTTAAGCCTCAAATATAGGTGATTTTTTGTCCTTCAACACTGAAAAATCCGCCCGTTGCTAAGGAAATTTCTTTGGCCGGGTTTCCATGGTTACCATGATTCAAAACATTTTTCATTTTACATACATTGTTCATACTTCAAAATAAAACTATGAGTGAAAAATCATCAAATTCTGAGAACCCTCATATATCACCCTTTGTCTGATTTTTATGTGGACTGGTACTTAACATTGTGTATGTAAATTCAGTTGTTCTGACACCATTGCATATTTGTACCAGTGTTAACATGTAGATGAAGATACATGTATCTGGTAGGGTTTAGTGTTTGTAGATCTTTAAAGGGGGGTTACCCTACAGTCATATATTATTTTCCATTGGAAGTATGACAGCATATATTCTAGGAATTCCCATATCTGGGCAATCTTTATATGCGCTGATTCTTAATTTCATTTCAAGTGCATATTTACTTAAATGGAAAGAAGAAAAAAATGTTGAATCAATTTCCTTGTTATGCATGTAAAATAATAGGAATTTTTTAACATACATGTATGTGATTGAGGGACAATGCTACAGCTGTTTCTTCCATTCTTTGATCCTTGATTTCCTTACAGACATTAAAGTATGGCCTGTCCTGTGACTGTAGAAAAGACTTCCTAGATTTAGCAATCTCCTGTAAAGCTGTCATCTGTTGTAGGTGAGTACTAGATCAAGTCATGTGATGATCATGTGATTTCTATCTTTTAATAGTCTAAACTAAAAAACTAGAAAGGTGCTTACACAAAAGAGGCTTCCTATGATAACTACCAGTATTTTGACAAAATTTTGCTAAAGCTTGAAATCAGAGTCAGTCCAAAGTTATTCTTTTGTTTATTTCATTAGTAAACTGACATTGTCAATTTCAGGGTATCACCTCTACAAAAGGCAGAAATAGTGGACTTAGTCAAAGATTCTGTCAAAAAAATCACCCTAGCCATTGGTGATGGTGCTAACGATGTGGGGATGATTCAGGTACATCAAAGAGACAGATTAACTTTTATGTGTATATACAATGTCTTCTCGATATATCTTTGATCTTTTCTGTGATGCATATATAGACATGCTATAAAGAGTGCCCTGTATTTCTGTGATATTTACAGGCAGCACATGTTGGGGTGGGAATCAGTGGAGTGGAAGGGCTACAGGCAGCATGTGCTTCAGATTACGCAATTGCTCAGGTAAAAAAACAAATGCGATAAAATATCAAATACAATCTACAGGTAAATAAATCTTTTTGAAAATAACTTTATGAGCAGACATACATGCATATCTGTAACTTGATGAATTTGTTTTCTTGTAGTTTCGTTTTCTGAATAAGTTGCTTCTGATCCACGGAGCCTGGAGTTACTCCCGTCTTTGTAAATTAATTCTCTACTCCTTCTACAAGAATATCTGTCTCTATGTCATAGAGGTAAGGAGCTGTCTATATCTGTATCGTTACTGAAATTAATTGGTTTCCTGACAGACTGGAAAAGGAACATCAATCTAACCCTTAGAATTTCACATCCTGTCAATATCAGTAACCTTATAAATTTTGACAATTGGTGTATTAACATTTTTCTTTCTTTTTTCTTTCAGTTCTGGTTTGCTATTATGAATGGTTTCTCAGGACAGATTCTGTTTGAGAGATGGAGTATAGGTTTTTACAATGTGGTAAGTTTTCCCCGTGAAAGTAAATGTAAAAGTGCCTGAACCTGAATTTCAGTAATCATTTGTCAACTGAGATAAAATTTCATTTAGGAAGAAAGCTTGTCAAAAGATGAAATTCTATTGTCATATACTGATTGTTTGATAAACAGATTTGTGGAATCGTAATAAATTATGGGGGATCAATGTTTGAGAATTCTGTGGGTCACTGTTACCCCCAAATTTACGTCCCAATGAATGTTTATTTTAGAAACATTGATTCATTGAATCTATCGTAAAAATGAGTAATGCTCAAAATTACATCCTTACAAACAAGTAAAATTTTGCTTTTCCATGAGCATCAACCCCAAGAAATAAAATGATTTCAAAATTTTAACAGCAGCCCCTCTGCTAGACATGGATCTGTATCTCTATGACCATATCTGTTTTGCAGACAGGCTATAATTGTCTTGATACAATGTCCACCATTGTTTGCTATACAGATATTCACAGCAGCCCCACCCTTAGCCATGGGTCTCTTTGATCGTATCTGTAGTGCTGAGAGTATGATGAAGTTCCCAGCTCTCTACAAGGCATCCCAGAATGCCGAGCTCTTTAATGCTAAGGTAAATAAGTCCTTCAGTGACTAGGGAAATGTATTGTAAGGACACAGCTAAAGTTCTGGTACAGTGTTTTACTTTAAAATATTCTCATAATTATGTTACATGTAAAATCATAATTTTATTGAAAATAAGAATTTATACCATGGTTTTTCTGCAAGAGGATTTTAGTGTTTCTGTAGTTTTTATAGATATCCTGTAAAAAGAATTGAATGTGTATACTGTTTTGTAGGTAATTGGGTTTTACTCAAGTGTTTCAATATGTTCATTGTTTTATTGTAGGTGTTCTGGATGTGGATCTTTAATTCCCTGTTTCATTCTATTCTTCTTTTCTGGCTTCCTGTGTGTGCTCTTCAACAAGGTAAGTTGTTATATAACTGTCTGTAAGCTAAAGCCCCATAATTATACCTGTCTGGTATAGGTACTTAATATGTCAGCATGTCAGATATAGCTCCATAATAACATGTAATATACATATCAAGTTAATTGGAATTCCTAGTCTTGTTGAAAAATTGATAGATTCTCAGTGAAAAGCATTTCTATGGGACTAAATGGTACTAGAGACATAAAGGGGAGTTTTTGGGATATCTCTTTTGTTTTGTTACTATTAGATGTATCAGTATTTTCATTTCCTGCAGATATTGCGTTTTCCAATGGACAATCAGGGGGTTACCTCTTCCTAGGAAACTTTGTATATACTGTAAGTATATACAGTAACTTACACATGTGTGATTTTTTAAAATTAAAGGAATTTTTTTTTCTCTTAAAATCAGGAATACTTTTAAAATCAGGAATTAAGCCTGTATGTAGTGTAAAATATTCACCTGTACAGAGAAGAAATTAATAATTGCTTTGTTATTTTGTTTTGTATTTCAGTATGTTGTGGTAACTGTATGTTTAAAGGCTGGTCTTGAGACAAGTGCTTGGACCTGGGTAAGAATTAGAATGTAAAAAAAAATGCCATTAATAATTGAATTTATGTAAATTTGGAAATAATTGTTATGCCTAGTTTATGATATTAAGATGCTGCATTAAGATATTTGACTCCTTCCGAGAAAAACAGAATTTTATAACATATTTGGCACCTTTGAGTTGTACCTGGCACCTTTGAGTTGTACCTGGCACCTTTAAGTTGTACCTGGCACCTTTAAGTTGTACCTGGTGACTGTCATTACTGAGTTGTACATTTGACAGGCTCCTTTTAGTTTTATACCCTTGACTGGCACCTATAGTTATAGATATTTGTTGTTATTTGTAGCTGACACACCTGGCTATATATTTGTTGTTATTTGTAGCTGACACACCTGGCTATATATTTGTTGTTATTTGTAGCTGACACACCTGGCTATATATTTGTCGTTATTTGTAGCTGACACACCTGGCTATATATTTGTCGTTATTTGTAGCTGACACACCTGGCTATATATTTGTCGTTATTTGTAGCTGACACACCTGGCTATATATTTGTCGTTATTTGTAGCTGACACACCTGGCTATATATTTGTTGTTATTTGTAGCTGACACACCTGGCTATATATTTGTTGTTATTTGTAGCTGACACACCTGGCTATATATTTGTTGTTATTTGTAGCTGACACACCTGGCTATATATTTGTTGTTATTTGTAGCTGACACACCTGGCTATATATTTGTTGTTATTTGTAGCTGACACATATATTTGTTGTTATTTGTAGCTGACACACCTGGCTATATATTTGTTGTTATTTGTAGCTGACACATCTGGCTATATATTTGTTGTGATTTGTAGCTGACACACCTGGCTATATATTCGTTGTTATTTGTAGCTGACACACCTGGCTATATATTCGTTGTTATTTGTAGCTGACACACCTGGCTATATATTTGTTGTTATTTGTAGCTGACACACCTGGCTATATGGGGGAGTATAGCCAGCTGGTTCCTCTTCCTGTTAGTGTACAGTCATATCTACATGGTAGTAGACCTAGCTCCAGAGATGCTGGGAATGGTAAGTCATACAAGTCTCACTTCATACTTAATTTTTAAAATAAATCAAACAAGTTGTACCAAGTAATGTTGTTAATTTGGGAAGCTTTAACATTTGTTTTTCTATTTTATTTCAGGACATAATATTTACCTGCTCCATCTTTTGGATGGGACTGATTCTTATTCCATTTATTTGCCTCATACGTGATGTGGCATGGAAAGCGTAAGTCAAAAAGCTTTTTCTTTGGTTGACAAAAATTGTTTAGTTCTGCGATATATTGTTACCAAAGTGGCTTCTCTTACCAATGTCAATACAGATGATGTTTAACACATCATTTCTGTTCACATTTAAAGAAAAGAAAATCTTAAATGTGTAGTACAGCCCTAAAAAATAACTGAAAAGACTGAAATATACCTGTATGTGTATTTTTCATTGTCAAAATTTGACTTTCGTTTGATGATAGTAAGAAGTAAAATTCCCTGAATGAAATTTTTTCTTTTGATTCAGGTACAAGCAGACAATGTTTAATTTTCTGCTAGTCCAGACATTTTTTTCTTTTGTTAGTGCAGACAATTTTTTTCTCCAGTTAGTTCAGACAATTAAGTTTAAGTTTCTGTTTTCAGTTCAGACAATAAAGTTTTTTTCTGTTCAGCTTGGTAGACCTGACAGTTAAGTTTAATATTCTGTTGTAAGTTCAGACAGTTAGGTTTTATTTTCTATCATTGAATCAGATAAAAAAGGACAGTTAATGCTTATTTTCTGTTGTTGATTCAAATTAAGAGGATTGTTAATTTTTATTTTCTATTGATTTAATTACAAGAGGACAGTTTTATTTTTTTTATCGTTGATTCAGTTAACAAGAGGGGAAAAGTTTTATTTTTTCTGTCATTGATTCAGATACAAGAGTTAAGTTAAGGTTAATCTTCTGTTGTTGATTCAGATACAAGAGGACAATGCACAAAACTCTGAAGGAGGAGGTGCAGGAGAAAGAGAAGCTTCACGAGGATCCTACTCCTGTCGTCATCCGACTGACAAAGAAAAGGTACAAAAAAATTCATACATTATTGAGTATGAGAAAAGAAAAGGTATACTTCTTCATACTTGTGTAGACATACTAAGAAGGTTTCACTTATTCCTCTAATGTTACATGTACTTCTGAAGGAAAAAAAAAGAACTGATTTAATTAAAGAGGGGAAAATTTCTCAAGATCAGTTTACAGATTTATTTTTTCTTTACAATTCCTTGACAGCTGAAACACAAATATCTGTTCATACAAGGCATTATTATGTGAAAAATGTTGTATAAGAGCGTATTGCCTTTAAACAGGTTGACAGAGACGGCTCGCCTGTTGAGAAACGTGTTTACGCGCACATCTCCGAGGATGCAGTCACCGTCAGAACAGCCTCGTAAGTGTATCCTCCATCACTTGTTCATTCTTCATTCAAACAAATACACTCATACTGTGTCTTGATGTAATTTTGTTTTTCATTTTCAATGCATTTGTTTTGAGATGCTTAATGTTGTCTGTGAAGATTGCAATTTTCATCACTTCCTCAAATTTATTGTAATTTCATTTATTTCATCATAAATCGTTTTATTTCTTGGATTTAAAAATAAAAAATCTGTGTGTACTATTCAGCAGTAAGAAATAGAAGTAAGAACTTTTACCAAATAATGACCACTCACTCACATGATAAAACTGTGTCCTTACAATGACAGCTCCCTCCCCTACCCCGTCACGTAAGCAATCACTGTATCTGGTATCAGGGATTTTCCTGTCAGGGGAACATTTCTGACACTTACTCAGAAAATACCATGTGCTTTGGCAAGCTAGCTTTAACTAATGAATTAAAAGCAATTATTTTAATGATAAAAATATACTCCATATACCCCGGTACTTGTACTTGTTCAGCATGTACTGTGGAATTTCAACACATTTATATTGCAGCAATATGCATTTTCTGGTCGTCTGAATTTGGACTGCTGTTATTTTTAGTATTCATGCCAATAGCCGAGTTATTTCTGATTTTGTAGATGAGTTAGGTAGAATTGCCAGATTATACTCAGTTAATTAGGTGTGCATGCTGTTACTAACAATCAGGGCCGCGGAAAAAGGTGGACTGGAGGATAGACATGACATAAATTACACTGTGTGACTTAAATAACAGTGTATTACTGCTAAACAGAGAAAAAATGTAAAACATTGTAGTCAGTCAACACAGCTTTTATTTAATGTTCCATGGATTGGTTACCTCACAAAATTTTGTAACATCCAAATTCATCTTTTGTCCAATCAACACACATTTTATAAGTCCCATATTTCATCACAGACTGGTGCATTTACTAGTCTTTTTTTATGCATTTAGGTTTTCCATTTTTGATACCAAATGGTAACAATAACTTTTTAAAAGCATCCAAATGCAGAGAAGCATGAAATAATTGAGTTCAAGGCATCACAAAAGATAAATTATTTTTTATATCTTTTGCAAACCTTGTAATTTTTTTGTGAAGCTATCTTTTACATTTTGGGGTCATGGATTTGATGTAACATGGTGGATGAAGTCAATTGATACCCGCTTTGTTCAAAATGTATTGTGGTGTTACAGGGTGTATTTTGAGTTTTTGGTTTGAGGAACATGTATGGAAGATGGAAAATGCTTGTTGTAAAATAATATTTATTGCTACTTTAGTCCATGGAAGTTACAGGAGAACAGATGGTAATTTTGTAAATTGATCAATGGAATTAATAGCATGTTTTGAGGGGGAATAAGTGAACCTGCAAAAAACTACCCTACAAGAATGGCCATGTATTGCAGAAATTGTAATCCTAACCAGAAATCACTTACTCCGCCCACAAATCAGTCTCCTGCAATCAAAATAATTATTCTTTCCACTCAAAATCAGTCATTGCTAATAACATATACAGTATCAAACTTCCACAAGAACTTGCAAACTTGGAAACCAGTATATTTTGAATCACCGCTTTTCACTGCTTATCAGCATTTTGTAATAATCTATAATATGAATCTTTCAGTTTGAATAAAAATTCTATAAGAATTCTATAAGAATTGAAGATTCTGAATTACACACCTATTCTGAATTTGATTCTTTGTTCTACAACTATGCATGAAATATTATCCTGACATGATTGATTTAAAAATTTTTGAAATATATTTTGCTTATGATCATCACTTAGCTTATACATGCACTTCATGTGTTTATTGTCAATGCACCATCAAGTTAATTCATTCTTTTTAATGTATTTTATGTTTTTATGAAGGGAAAAAAATTAATTGGAAATTTTGATGGAACAGTGATTTAAATTCAGAGATGATAAGATAACTTTAAAATTATTATTATGAAAACCATGTAAATTGATTAAAAAACTTTTAGATTTCATGTATTTGTTGGCATGTTGATTGTATTACAAAGTAAAATATTACAAAGAGAATTTTTTTCCAGAATATGATATTGCAACTTTTTCAAAAATATTTTTTGTGTTTATTTAGATTGTACATGTACTTGTAAATAAATTTACCTGCACCACCATTTTAACTAATAATATATCATCAATTATGACATTCTCTAAACAATATTTATATTTCCATGTGTGCATTCTAGTAATCTTTATTTTATTTTAATCTATGTGACATGCCTGAATTCTCATCACGTTTGTTGTTCCTTTTACAGATGGGTTTGCATTTTCTCAGGAAGAGCATGGGGTTCTTAGTCAGGTAAGGGGGATAATGCAGGCTCAACTGTTGAAAAATTAAAATAACGACAATTACTAGCTTTAATATTTTGTAGTCCCTATATGATTTATACAAATGCAAATGGTTCAGAACACTACATATTGAAGTTATTTTAATGAAAATGTTGTCAACATAAAGCCTTCAATGTCTTATTCATACAAATCTGGATTATTAATTAAAGCATTAAATATGGACTCTTTTTAGAGGTGTACCCAGTAAATGGTTTAATATTCACCAGAAAATTATCAACACAGACCAAGACTTTGCTGCCTCTCTGTTGATATTTTTCTGGTGATTACCAAACCATATTTACCTCCAGAAAGAGTCCACAAATGGATATTATGTAATATATATTTTAGTAATGATTAATTGATATCTTCCAAAGAGTTTGTACTCTGTACATTGATATGAAAGTTTATATAAACCATGCTGACTATCTGCATGCACACAAACTATGTATAGGCCCTGCATGGCTCTTTTTAGACTAGATAAAAGACCGCTGAATTTCAGCCTGACCGTCTGTAGACTTAATACAGACCATGCTGAAGTACTGCTTGGCTCTCAGTAGACTATCATCACTGCATGTGAATGTACAATAAGATTGTAGAAGGGATGCTTAAGATGTTAAGGAGTAACTTGAGCTTAATATGAAAGTTCTTCATTATAATTTTATTACTTATAGGCTCAACTGATACGAGTTTATGATTCAACAAAGAGCAAGCCAGATGGGCTATAACAGTCTATAACAGTGACTCAGTGACCGGACCAGGGTGCACAGTGTTTACAGTGTCTACAATGTCTACAGCGTCTAGGAGTATCGGCTGTCATGTCTATAGTGTCTAGGAGCCCAGTGAAGTGGGTCCATGGTCTGGAGTGTTTGGTCTTTTGAACTCTTGTGAGGGACCACGTGCAATACATTATCATTATCTTTACATGAGTACGTGTACGGACTACGCATTCCTGATTTCTCTACCAGACTTATCATAAAATAAATATTTCCTACTCTTTTCATTTTTTAATATCTTATTGTAAACAGACGTGCAATATTGAATGAGTGCATAATTTGTTAACTTTGTAAAAGATCATTCTTCATGTAAATCAGTATATGTTTGTGATAATGAACTTCTGGTTTTGATTAATACATTGTGTAGCCTGAGTGACCAGAGGAGTAAATTATAAAACAATGTGAAATATCTATTTCTAGCTCAGAAAAATCCCATGATAATACATGCTCTACTGACAAAGATTGTACAAGTATAAATACATGCTGACATTACCAGTATTTACAGTACATTTATACTGACATTGATTTTAGTACATTTACATATAACATTGTCATTGTATTAGTACATGTTCTGGTATATAAACATTTATTTTTTTGTATTGTATATGTATAATCAAATACTGAACTGTTTTGATCAGACCCATAGCAACAATTTTAAAAGTAGAGTGGGTGAGGTTCTACCTTTCTAGTGGCTGGAATTTACCAGTGTTCATTCTAGCAGCAGCATAAAATGGGGTGGGATAGGGTGGGGGACATCTAAATTAAATTTAGCAGAGGGTGTAAAATGAAATTTACATTTTATTTCTAAGTTTTATTAAGTACACGTACAATGTCATATAAGCTGAGTCTAGTTGTTTTAGCCAAGCTAGTGTGTTATTTTTTTTTTTTTACATAGAAGACATGGTTTATTGAGATTATTTATTGTTACAGTGTATTATTTTATAAAGATTTTAGCAGTTTGTTACTGTTAATTTGCTACTATGTAATGTTTTATTGTGAAAGCCAGAATGACTTGTACGCCCTGTAGTATGAAAGATGACATGTCATTGTGATCAATCTAGTTTTATTGAAAAAACATATTCCCTGAACTTTGAAAATACGTGATCCAAGATGATTTAAATTGCACTCTTTGAAGATGAATGTATTTTTTTTTTTTTGGTCTAAATATGTTTTTCTATTTATTTGTGTGTAAAAAAAATCCAAATACTATTTGTACTACTTCTACAGTTATGGTTTTGATTGAAATAAAACAAAATGTATATTAATTATATCTTCACTTGAGGTACAACTTTTTCTCTTACACTTCTTACATCAAACCTCTCATAACAGACCTCCAGTAACAAAAATTCTCACAATTTATATTTCAGGCTAGTAGTGATATTTTTTCCTAAATTAAAAGTACAGCAAAAGACTACTAGTGTTATTCAAAACAGTGAAGGGAGGGAGCTAGCACCCTCCCCCTACTATGTATATTTGAACATCACAAAATAATGTACAGTGTATATTTATCCCTTATACTGCATACAGATTAAAATAAGCTAAAACTTGAAAATCATGTGAACTCCCCTCACTTTTCAGTAAAAGCAAAATAAGGGTAAAATGGAAATAGAAATATAATACAGTCAGCTGTATCATTAAATCATGTTTTATATCCAGCTCATCATTAAGAAAATTCCAGTATTTGTTTAAACTCTGTCTCTGTGTATCATTGATAGTAATCCTCATATTTTTTTCTATTCTAATTATAAATACTTAAAACAAATTATATAGTACTAGTGCGCAAGTAAAAATTTTATTACTCTGTTATGGAATCATTAGATTTTGTCGGGACTCAGGATTCAAATCCAGGAATTATCATTGGCCTCCACAAATAAATATTACAGTCATTCCTTTTTATGAAAGAGTGACTGTAAAATTATATTCATCTCACAAACCTGTCAAATTTAGGTAATCTGTAAAGATTGGTCCTGGCCTATAAATTTTAGTGATTGTATATTAATTCAAACAAAGAGGTGTGGGTAGTGTAAAGTTATTCAGTCTTAGAGGATTTTTAATTTTTCATTGACTAATATTTATTGATTTGTGACTTTTGGTTATTCCAGAAATTTACTATTATTTTACTGTTTACTATATGAGATACATTTCTGCTATGAATAGGTGTTTAATTATGAGACAAAATAAACTGTGTCAGAAATTGTGGCTTTGTTTCTTACAAAATTGGTATAGAGCTTTGGGTATCAGTCTAGGAAAAGACCTTCTAAAATCTGTGAGCATCGAACTCATTAAATGATATCCCCACCTCCCATAGCTATGGAAAACATGAAATATGAAACTATCTGATCAAAAAGCAAAATGTCACAATGGCACTTTATTATACCTCATTATAAATATTCTAAACAACGCGTTATTTGATTGGTATTAAGTTATCATAGGTGTGGGGCCGTAAAATTATTTTCCCGTCCGTTAGCATGCTTTTTATATTTCTTCGGATACTTAATGCATTTTCCCGCAAAAATTATCGTTTGTTATTCCAGAGAATTTAGACTCACAATAACCTGGTTTACGTCACAAAATTGATGAAGAGTTTTAGTTACTTTTTGTTAAAAATGAAAGTAAATTTGAGAGCGGTGCCGAATTTGAAAGTTTATGTTTATTTCAAAGGTTTTGCTAGTTTCGGTATAATAAAAGACCTTCTAAAATCTGTGAGCATCGAACTCACTAAATGATATCCCCACCTCCCATAGCTATGGAAAACATGAAATATGAAACTATCTGATCAAAAAGCAAAATGTCACAATGGCACTATGTAACAAAGATTCTTTGAAAATCTCATCAAAACCCCTTCATTGGTATAAGAGGAATTGCAGATAAGAGATTGGTACCCCAAAGCGTAACAGATGTCAGTAGAGCACCTGACTAGTGATGCAGGGGTCCCAGGTTCAATTCCCGGTCCAGCCATACATTTTCCCCCTCTCCTGTGACAGTGTTGGTGTCATTGACTTCCTTGGACTTGCAGATGAAAGTCCTGCCAAGGGCTATTAGGAATTTGGGTTGTTTCTTTGAGGGGTTGGAGGAAGGAATGTAATGGTTTAGACCTTGGGTATCGGCCTGGATAGCTCAGTAGGTTAGAGCACCTGACTAATGATGCAGGGGTTCAGGTTCGATTCCTGCTCTAGACATACATTTTCTCCTCTCCTGCAACACAAATATTTATGGTTATTACCACCACCGACATTAAGATTGGTTGAATGGTTTGGACTGATCAATCAACTGGAGTTGAGCCTTGTGGTAAATAACTTTACTGAGATCAAAAAGTTGTAGGAATCTAGGCTTGACTGAGGACATCGGCCTGGATAGCTCAGTGGTTAGAGCACCTGACTAGTAATGCAAATGTCCTGGGTTTGATTCCCAGTCCAGCCATGTTTTCATTATGTATGTATTTATGAATTTTCAATGTATATTCACTCATTTCTCCTTTCCATACTACAAAGTAAACAGTAATGAATAAAATGCTGCATCTCTTTGCTAAATTATTTAAAAGGTGTATATGACATGGATCCAACTTGTTGGCATCCACATTTGAGAAAAGATACATGGTATAGAAATGGAAATGAACTTGGCAATACATACTGTGATACATTGTATTATTATCCTTCAGAATTATACAGTCAGTCTGATTGGTTTAAAGCATGTCACGTGAGGTGAGACAATTCGTGATGTCTCCCTCACGCGCAGGGTGACAACTGTTGTCACCCTCCAGATGACAATGAAATAGCGTAAATGAGTAAGCAGGGTTACAACTGCATTGTCGCCCTTTGAATGAAATTACAGTGGTTTAAGCGAGATAACTCTTATTTATGATTATACATGTAATATAGTATTACTAATATGCGGGATCGGTAAACAATAAATTCTAACGATGACGTCAGATCGAGTTGTCTGTTGACATATTTTAAAAGTAGGGAATCAGAGCAGAGACGGAGACACAAAATTAAGGTTTGATTACTATTTTCTACTCTGTCTAATTGATAATTAGATTCTTCAGGATAATAAAACTATTATGGACTGTTTAGACGGGAGACATCACCAGTTATCAGGTCTGAGTAGGGTTGTCACCCTCGGGCGCAAGCGCCCTCGGACGACAACCCTACTCAGACCTGATAACTGGTGATGTCTCCCTTCTGAACAGTCCATAATTGTATAATATATACCCATAGACAACTTTCAATATGGGAACCTGAAATCACTCAGTATTGCCAATATTTTAATAGTCCAAAGTAAAAACTGCAAAACAATTTGTCTCTCCTTTACAAACATTTTACTGCATTATCCCTTGTTATTAATTCGTAGTTATTGCCCTTGCCAGTAGTCAAAATGTTCACTGAAGCATTGTTGATGGGATGTATGAACATTACTTTGTCCACTGAAATGGCATTATTCATGTGATCAAATGATCCTTAGCCACCCATAAATAATTACAAACTTCAGGTTAAAGATATACATATATTTATTGCATTATTTTACAATATTTAAAAAATAATAGTAAACAGAACAATGTAAGAAATATAAATATTTTTTTTTCTAATTTTATACAACTTCACAAAAAATTGAATAATATCTGACAATGATTTTGTTTCCATGTAACCTATGGCTTAAAGAACATAAAAGAATGGGAAATTTAATGAATTAAATGAATTACGAGATCCTTTATGTCAATTTTTAGTGAGAACAAAACAACAACAATAAGTTTTGATGGATCATCACTATTTTTTTTTTTGATTTTTCAAGAACTAATGTCATGATAAACCTGTTCGCCCAAATTGGCGCTCACAGTATGTGTATATGGTTGAAATCTCATTTCTGTAATGTTAGAGTAACTTCAGCATTAGTCGAACACAGAATATCTGTGTTGTAGCACAGGATACAGAAATGTCTAACAAAATAATGAGAAAAAAAAATTGGAAACCAATGCACTTTTCTTAAAAGACTTAGGTCTATATACAAGTAAAAGGCTTCAGTCATTTGTTCCAAAATGAGACAATGGTGTTTGCCAGATAAAAGACAGTTATCTTTCCTTGGTCTTTACTCGTCGTCATCTTCATCATCATCGTCTTCATCATCGTCGTCTTCTTCATCGCTCTCCTTCGGCGGGGCCTTGGCTTTTTTGGCGGGAGAGCTGGACTTGGATGGAACGGTTCCTCCAGATCTGTAGACCTCCATTTCCTAAAAAGAAATAGTAGCAAAGATTACAATACAAGCAACATACATGTATATGCATAAACTCAGAAATCCCTGCTGAGGTTTCTTACAAAAGATTTTGTTCAAACAAACTTTAAGTAATGGAAGAAGCACATCCTTAACTGTCTTTTAAACTTTTAAATTTTATTTGCCATGTTACCTACATCTACCCCAATTGATTTCTACTAAGTTATCTACTCTTGCATTTCCTTGATTGCTTTGTCCTGAATTATCTTCCCTTGCATATTTTGATTGCCCTGAGTTACCTACCCTTGAGTATCTTAAGTTTCCCTGAATAACCTAACCTTAAATAAATACTTTTGTTTCCCCTGAGTTACCTAGCCTTGCTTACTTTTGTTCCTCTGAGTTACCTACCCTTGTGTCAGAGTGACCTACCCTTGCTTTCCTTTGTTTCCCCTGAGTTACCTACCCTTGCTTACTTTTGCTTCACCTGAGTTACCTACCCTTGTGTCTGCCTTGCTAACTTCTGTTTCCCCTGAGTTACCTACCCTTGTGTCAGAGTGACCTACCCTTGCTTTCCTTTGTTTCCCAGAATGACCTACCCTTGCTTACTTTTGTTCCTCTGATTTACCTACCCTTGCTTACTTTTGTTCCTCTGAGTTACCTACCCTTGTGTCAGAGTGACATACCCTTGCTTTCCTTTGTTTTTCCTGAGTTACCTACCCTTGCTTACTTTTGCTCCCCTGAGTTACCTACCCTTGCATATCGCTTCTTGTCTGCCTCTGCCTGGGCCTCAAACTTGGATCTGTTGGTCATTTTTTCCCAGCGTTTTCCGAGCTCCTTAGCAACCTCTGCTACAGACCACTCGGGATGGGCAGCTCTAACATCTGGACGTTCATCAGCACAGAAGAAGAAGAAGGCCGACCTGAAAAGACAAACAACAAAATACACTTATTGTCTGATCAGGTAGATCTGTACCAGAAATTCTGTAACACCACAAGTACCAAATATTGTAACAAAAATTAACCCTTTCATGGAAACTGTGGTACTATTCTTCTGCAGGGCAAATTAATAATGTTTGGAGTTTTTGTTGATAGATTATTAAATATGTTTTTGAAACAATTGCTTTTCACCAAAAGATATTATTTTACCTGTAAAAGAGTAGTACTGGAGTTATCGTGAAAAGGTCTTTGATTGACATAATTATAATTTTTTGACAAGGTGCAAATTTTGAAATGATTCTTTGACATTGCTGAAGATTTTGACATGAATATATTTTTGACAGAGATGCAGTTTTTGACATGATGGATTATTGACATGGCTGCAGTTTTTACATGATTACAATTTTTCTGACATGGCTGCAGTTTTTACATGATTACAATTTTTTGACATGGCTGCAGTTTTGACACATACAAAGCCCTCTTTGGTGCATTTGGGTCCTTCGATCGCTTCCTCTTCTTGCCAGCTGCGGCACCTGCGGGGGGATCATAACTTGCCATCTCTTTCTCATATCTGGATTTGTCCCTCTCAGCCATTTCCTCAAATCTACGCTTTTCCTTTGCACTCATTTCCTGTAGACCAATAGAGAACAATCTTATCAAATTGGACGTAAACTTTAGCATTGTTGTTCTCTGATTTTTTTTAAAAAGGGAAAAATGAAAAGATCCTGAAGAAACATCACAATTTATTATCAATCATCATATTATGAAATATTTTATATGTTTATACCAATTATAACAAATCAATAAAATACTATAGGGGAAACCATTTCAATAAATTCCATTTAACTTGCCTTCCATTTCTGTGCACACTTTTTGGTAAACTCGGCAAATACAACATTTTCATCTGGACACTTTTTCTTGTGCTCTTCACGGCATGTCTGTACGAAAAAAGCATAAGAAGACATGCGTCCCCTTGGTTTTCCATCTTTTCTTCCCATTTTGATTTACAGTATGTCAAATCTAATGAAATAAAGAAAGTAATGATAGATACACATTGCTTTATTATAAATTATCACTGCAACAAAAAAATTCTCTCCAAAAATTAGAAAATCACAATTTTTTAAAAATATATGAATATTTTCTAAGTTCGCAATTTATTTTTTGGGTGATTTTAAAGTATTTCTTCCTCTAAAGTTATTTTGGATTCAATAAATACATTACAGCAAATTCTAACGTATATTTTTTTGTTAACATTTTTATTTCATTTAATTTAACATAATTTTTTTCTTCAGAAAAAAAGATTTTTTCAACAAATGAAATTTATGGATAAAATATGCAAATGTTGCATATTTTAAGAATCAAATTATCAAATACTGTCGAAATTTTACCAAAAATTAAGGCATTTTAATATTTCGACTCAAGTCAAGCAAATGTACATTCTAAATTTCCTACTATATTACTATGGATAGAGCCCATATAGGCCTATACTGTTATGTATACACTATAGTCAGACATGGCGGCCCAAACGCTCGCCGACAAAGAACGACCTCAAAAATCACCCTGCAATGTCAAATTCCAATACCATGAATGAAAGTCCACCTAAAATTAACCCTCCCTCCAGGTTTTCTAAGAAAAATAAAGTTATAATTTGATTTATGAAAGATTCTACTTTGGTTTAGTGTCTCCTATACATAATACTACGGTATAGGGTTTATACAGTAAGGCATAGAACATTGTACATGAACGAAGCACTGTGGCTTGTATGGCGCATTACGGCCGTTATGGAACAAAGGCGGCCCATTTCGGTCGAGGAAAAATAGCATTAAATATTATTTAATTTCCACATAAAATAATTAAATACGTAGAAAAATGATTGAACTATCACTTTAAAACATCTGTTCGACTTGTTATAAAGGAATCTTCGAGAAATCGACAACGAAACCGACCCTACTTTTCCCCATATACAATCCATTATGGCAGTCACAATGGCAGATCAACGCCTGCTAGGCCAAACATTCAACGAAATAGCATTGTCTACGATTTACACGGCATCTTTACAAAAACGTGCATCGGATAGAAAAACATTTCAACTTCTGCAGAAAAATTACAGAAAGTGTCTAAACATAAAGGAACAATTACAGTAAATTTTTACTTACCACCACCCTAGCTTACTTTTCCAATGTATAGAGACCCACGCTACCTTTCTACCACTATACGAGAAGCTATGCTTGCTGTTCAACAGATATGATTGGTGTATTGTCGGCAATGTGCCCTGTGTAACCAATCAAAACAGCTGTTGCTCATGACGTTTATGTAAATGAGGGGTTTGTCATTAAACAAACCAACCACGTGATCAAGATTATCATTCTTAAAAACTACATACAAAATAGTTTGAATCAAAAACCATAATATTAATTAGTGTTTTGTTTTTATATTCTCCAGCTTTCTTGTAAATATCTGGCGAAATAAATTGAATTCTGTGATTTTCAACCCATGGAATACTAAGGGGCGTGGCCTAGACGTCATATAACCTTTGACCTTTCTAGCCTAAACACGAGCCGCCATATTTCAGACAAAACAGTAAGGAGCACTAGCTTCTCGAAAAGCAAGACTGCTAGTTAGTGTACACGCTGTTCATAACTAAGCGAATCTCTTCATGGTAAGTAAACTTGTTTGAATGGTTAAGATATTTTATTACCTAACAAGGCGGGCAATGTGAGATGTCGATTTTCCTGAGTGCTTCGTTTCATGTTCTAGTGTAACAGGAATATCTTTTTTAAAAAGAAAAGTAGGCTATTGAGTTTTGGGTGCAGTTTGAGTCTTCTGTTACTGTCCTTCTGGGAGTAAAAACTCGATTTCTGAACTAGAACTGTAATGATAGATATGGAAACAATTGAGATTTTAGGGAGAGAACAGAGAGAAAACAATATTTAGTGATGTAGACCAATCAAGAACTGTATCTTCCTTTATTGTTTTTCTTGGCATTTGTCTAGATCTGTGTATTACTCTGATGTTTGCTGGGGGTCAGACCCTGCACAGCTATTCAGCCTTACCTAGCCAGTGTCAGAGAGAGGAGGACAAGCTTCCAAACACAGACAGTAGTACAGATGTAAGTTTTCTTCAAATACTAGCTGACATGTATTAGACTCTTGAAATGTCTCTTGAATTATTTGCAACTTGCGAATCAACTCTGAAGAATAAAAATTAATTGTAATCTAGGGTTAAACCTCAGTTGCATTTCCATAAACATAGTTAGAATGATCTAACTGTGTCTCGGTACAAGCCCTCACCACCAGGTCCGTAGGACAATATCATTTTAACGATAGAACGTTCTATCTACCATAAACAATCATCAGTTGACTGTTTTTTGAGATAAAAATAAGATTCTTCAGACAGTACTGTGTGCATCTATGAGCTGAGAAGCAGCTGTCTTTTATTTAGTTTCATTGGTCAAACAACCAGCTTGTGATCATCGTTCACATATCAACATGATCAACAGACTGTTAAGTCTGATGACATTTAAGTGTCTGATTGCACTGTGGACTGATGGCAAATTAAATGTTAAAATAGAATAAAAAAAATTAACCCAGGTCCCTATAAACTATAAAATTAATGAATCCCATCTTTGTTCTAATTATAGTGTTCAACAATCTTTTTATTTGTAACGCACAGAATGATCATGATAATCATGTTTATTTCAGACCCAAGCTGCTTCCAAGAAGCGAAGGAGGAAAACAAATCTTTGGCTTCACAGACCTAAGCAGCGAAATCCAAGACCGACATCTCCATACGAGGGGCAAGGAAGGTAAAAGAAGATTGATAAATACTATCACGTATTTGATATGGGAAACCAGTTGTTTTTAGCTCACCTCGACGAAGTCGAGATGAGCTTTTGCTATACCCCTGGCTTTGGTGTTGGCGTCGGCGTCCCAGGTTAAAGTTTTAGGAGCAAGTCCATTCCTAAGTAACTATAAGCCCTACCTGAACCAAACTTGCATGGATGATGCATCTAGGAATGTACACTACCAGACTTGCTTCGGATGCTGGATCTGACCTACATTTTCTAGATGAGTGACCAGGTTTAAGTTTTTGGAGTAGGTCCATTCCCAAGTAATTATAAGCTCTACCCAGACCAAACTTGCATGGATGATGCATCTAGGGATGGACACTACCATACTTGCTTCAGATGCTGGATCTGACTTACATTTTCCAGATGAGTGATCAGGTTAAAGTTTTTGGAGCAGGTCCATTCCCAAGATGAGTGACCAGGTTAAAGTTTTGGAGCAGGTCCATTCCCAAGTAACTACAAGCCCTACCCTGACCAAACTTGCATGGATGATGCATCTGGGGATGGACACTACCAGACTTGCTTCGGATGCTGGATGTGACCTACATTTTCCAGATGAGTGACCAGGTTAAAGTTTTTGGAGCAGGTCCATTCCCAAGGAATTATAAGCCCTACCCAGACCAAACTTGCATGGATGATGCATCTAGGGATGGACACTACCAGACTTGCTTCGGATGCTGGATCTGACCTACATTTCCAGATGAGTGACCAGGTTAAAGTTTTTGGAGCAGGTCCATTACCAAGGAACTATAAGCCCTACCCTCACCAAACTTGCATGGATGATGCATCTGGGGATGGACACTACCAGACTTGCTTCGGATGCTGGATCTGACATACATTTTCATTCCCAAGTAACTATAAGACCTACCTGAACCAAACTTGCATGGATGATGCATCTAGGGATGGACACTACCAGACTTGCTTCGGATGCTGGATCTGACCTACATCATTCCCAAGTAACTATAAGACCTACCCGAACTAAACTTGAATGGATGATGCATCTAGGGATGGACACTACCAGACTTGCTTTGGATGCTGGATCTGACCTACATTTCCAGATGAGTGACCGGGTTAAAGTTTTTGGAGCAGGTCCATTCCCAAGGAACTATAAGCCCTACCCTGACCAAACTTGCATGGATGATGCATCTGGGGATGGACACTACCAGACTTGCTTCGGATGCTGGATGTGACCTACATTTTCCAGATGAGTGACCAGGTTAAAGTTTTTGGAGCAGGTCCATTCCCAAGGAATTATAAGCCCTACCCAGACCAAACTTGCATGGATGATGCATCTAGGGATGGACACTACCAGACTTGCTTCGGATGCTGGATCTGACCTACATTTTCATTCCCAAGTAACTAGTGACCAGGTGCATGGATGATGCATCTAGGGATGGACACTACAAGACTTGCTTCGGATGCTGGATCTGACCTACATTTTCATATCCAAGTAACTATAAGCCCTACCTGAACCAAACTTGCATGGATGATGCACATAGGGATGGACACTACCAGACTTCCTTCGGATGCTGGATCTGACCTACATTTTCATTCCCAAGTGATTATAAGACCTACCCGAACCAAACTTGCATGGATGATGCATCTAGGGATGGACACTACCAGACTTGCTTCGGATGCTGGATCTGACCTATATTTTCATTTACAAGTAACTATAAGACCTACCCGAACTAAACTTGCATGGATGATGCATCTAGGGATGGACACTACAAGACTTGCTTCGGATGCTGGATCTGAACTTGAAGTCATTGATATCTGCAGTATTAACAAATTTATGAATATTTGTTTACACTATACATGTTTTTCACGCTACATGCATAGAAATGTGTATATGCCATGTAAGGGGTTAAACACAACTTGCAAGAATATTGTTGTTGGGATAAATACTAGACAATAGAGAGGTTGAGATCTTAAACTTGTACGCGTACGTGTACTTGTAGAAATTTTGACGTACACGTACACGTTATTTTTAATTTGTCTGTTGAGATTTTTATGACGTGTAACATGTACGTGTACACTGCGATCGGTGTCTCTGTTTCAACTATTTAGAAAATTTTTTGTCGTCAGTTTGTAAACAAAACTTGATGAAAATAAGTGCTCGTGAAAGTAAACATCCTATATAATGTATAACAATCACATTTTCACTCTTAAATTGGCAAATTTTTATTATTAAAGCTACACGTTTTCACTTACGTGTAGATTCCATTCTACAAGTTTTACGAACGTGTAGCAATTTTGACGTCACTTTAATTGATGACGTAATACACACAGAATTTAGGTTATTCCCCTACTAGACGTACCCGTACCCGTACACGTTTGAAATCTCAACCTCTCTAATAAGAAAATATGATGTGAGATTTGCATTACTTACACTGATAACATTCGTCGAGGTGAGCTTCGTAATCTTTGATTACCTCTATTTTATGATTGTGCAGTAAATAATGTCTACATGATCTAAGTTTCCAGTAAAAGTTAAACATGTTAAATGCATTGAAATATTGAAATACTTTTTCTTTGCTTTCCTGAAAGAGTGATGAGACCATCCTGGATTAGCAACTGCAGTGCATATGTCATAAATCATGTACTTTACAAAGTTTGAGTGGATTTCACTGAGTTATGTACTCATTTAGGAATGACACTGTGTCCACTAAAGCTGATGTCAGTTAGGCTTCAAAGCACAGAGATCATTTGTAATATTTTCGTTGCTATAGATAGTTTTCAACTGACCTAAATTTAGCAAAAGTTACCTCCTGTTGGTCGCCATATTGGAGGTAAACTCGGTGAGTTTTCCTCTTTGTCTTACCAAGTTTAAGAAAATATAGCAGAAATATTTGGTGGAAAATCTTTATTGAATTTTTTTTTTTAAATAAAGGAGGCTTCCAAAAATTTATTTACTTCAGCAAAATAATGATTCCTAATTCAAAATCGCGAATATAAAAATTTAAAATTGGTTGAACAGTGAAGGAATATGAGCATTTGGACCTCCAGTATGGCGGCCAACGGGAGGTAACTTTTGCTAAATTTAGGTCAGTTGAAAACTATCTATACATGTAATACTGACTACTGTACATAGTTATTAACAAATGAACTTTACTTAAACCCAGTTTTAGTACTTTTAAATGGCTCTCTAGCTCTTTGCTCAAGATCAGATCATTTCATCAACTTCATTATAAAGCAGTGATGTGTTAAAATCATGTTAAAATTAAAACTAAGAATGAAGTCAAACCATAAATTATGGTTAGCATGTCTGGTAATGTTGATTCAATGTCTGTTTCAAAGGTCAAGGTCAAAGGGAATTTGCATGTAAAGGAAAAATTCAGTCTTATCCATAACTTCTCATTTTTCAGATGAATTAAAATGTACATATGTGAAAATATTAAACTTGAATAATTATCCTCGTTCTTTAATGTTTTTAGGGACGTTATGTCTGTGAATGGTTTCAGCACAGAGGACGACAGTCGTCAAGGACACGACCAGGTTTGTTGTCTAATTGATAACGGTGATCGATGTAACAACAATGCTGGAAATGCTAGCTACAGCAAAAGAATCCAAAAAACAGTTCAACAGAGGAAACTCAAGCTAGCACGAGATGATAGGGTACTTATTTAATTTACACCTTATTTAATTATGAATTCAAATTCTTATATAATGAATGTCAGGGCTTGATGTTTCTGATTTAAAATTGGCAACAGCTAAGTGGTTTTTCTAGATATGAAGAACTGTAAACCAACCAGAAACTTAAGAGTATAAGCTATAGTGACAACTGAATTTTATTTTCTTATTCTGATAGATAGTACCAATCCATTAAAAAAGAAAAATCCCAATTTGAGACTAAAATTAATTCAACTGCCCAGCAATATACCGTAATCATATTCACTCAGTATATTTAAAAATTAAATGTTGCTAGTCTTAAGATAAGTAAAAACAAATTTTGCCTCCAAATCAAAAAGCTAGCCAAATTGTTAACACTTTTGTTTGTTTGTATAATTGTTTCCTTTAGGTCTCACATATTTATATCTGTGACTATCATAAAAACGTTATTCAGAGTGTTAGGACGAAGAGGAAGAGGAAGGACAGTGAAGACGAGAACGGATCACTAGACGGCACGGAAGACTTACCCGAGGTGGGTCACAGCTCAAGTTACCTCTAAACTGACTGGAAATGCTCATGTTACCTGTAAACAGACTGAAGACGTTCATACTCTCTTAATCATAACCTCTTGTCATTCATTGACTTTCTTTTGAAAAAAATGATGTTCTGAAAAAAAAAATTATATTTAAACATGGACAAATTAATTATTTAAAATGTATTGCTTCATAAAATACATTTCATTAATCTTTTTTTCCATCCTGTAAATGACTTGAATGATATCACTGTGTATTAAATACATGTAGCTATGATATTATGATATTATCAATTGTAGATTGACTTTTTCCAAATGCCTGTGAATACATTGAGGCGTTACAAAAGACACTTCAAGTTACTGACCAGACCTGGGATGAACAAAGCCCAATTAGCTGATGTAGGTACCCGTTAACGTAGCAATTAGGGTGAAGATATTTATATTTCATTAAAATACCAATACCATTTAATATTAAAATAAAATATACACTGTCATATAAATTAAGACTTATCAAATTTATGAAAGATAAACAATATTACTGAAAAAATACCAGTATGTTTATCGATATTGAAAGAAACTTCATGCAGAAAATTCTTTTGACATTTGAAAAGTGATATGTAAAATATTTTCTAATTTGTAGCATGTAGCAAGACATTTCAAGTCAATTCCAGTGATTGAAAAAGAGGCCTTGACCTACTTTATTTACATGGCTAAGAACTACAAGAGTCGATTTGATCAGAAACATTTGGAGCATGCTAATTCATAAAGATTCCTCGACCACAGTGAGAAGAATGTTAGTCTGGTGGACGTGCTGGGTGATCGCCGAAGTGACGTGTGACAGAAAGAGTGAGCTAGAGACGTGTGAATGTTGAGACTTTCAGATGTGAATGCAGAGATTTGGGGAGGTGTGAGTGTTGAGAGGTTTACACAGATACATGTGTATGTGTTGAATACCAGCTTGTGTGTTGATTTGCTGTTATTGTGGGGATGTTAAACAGCATGACTGACCACTTTCATGAGGTGCTTTTGTGGTGCTGTATTGCAAGAGAGAACTATGAATGTTGAAATGTAGAAATAAACTAAAAGAAAATAATCTGGTTTGTTTGATACTCAATAACCAAGGTTCAAATCTTAAACCTGATTTTAAAATGACCTGCTAAATGTTCACTAGTTCACAGTTATCTCCCTAAATGAAGAGGCCAGCCATTCATTTAAACAGAATTCAATCCTTCTTAACCACTGGTGCTTCGGGTTAGGTTTGGAGAGACTGAGCTAAAATAAACTAAATGTGTCAGATGGTACAAATGCCCCCTGCTGACAAAATTGTTGGTTCCCAAGAGAAGGAATATAAATGTACAATATCATATTTGAAATCTCAGCTGTTCAAAACGTATAGCTAATGTTTAAGTTTGGTAAAATTTCAAACTCTGAGATCAAGATGTAAAATTTTAATGGTACCCATTTGAAAATTATTGCCACAAGAATTACACCTGTAAGACATGAAAGCACCAGCTCCAACCATAAAAAATGGGAATTTTTTTTTTTTTTTTAAACAGACAAATGGACAGAGCAAAAGAAATACACCCCAAAACTTCACTTACCAGGACTAATAATGATTATTTTTAGAATTTTTTGAAGCAAGGCAATTTGAGAATTTTAAAAGATGCTTTTTGGTACTGCAAAAAAGAATCACTGAATTACATCATGTATCTATTTTCTTCATCCATTATCTGCTTGTCACACACTATAAACTTTTAAAACATTTAGCTAACAGGGAGAGTTTAACTAATTTCAACCTATTAAATAGAAAGCTTTTTATGAGGGATGAACAAAAATATTTAAATTCATGGACATGAGGCCTGAAGAGAAGGGGCAATTATCCCACATAACCTTCACAAAGATACTTTTCTCCTGGAGATCATTGTTTTTGTCCCCCACTTTCACGAAAGCGAGGGGACATTAAATCTTATCCGTCTGTCAGTCTGTCCGTCCGTCACAAAAACTTTAAGTCTGCCCATAACTTTTGATTAAGTGGAGCTATGACTTTCATATTTCATATGTGCATTTCTTGTGACAAGACCTTTCTTTGGGCACCACCAAATTTGACCTTGACCTTGGAGTTTGACCCACTTTTACACAAAAATTACTTTGGTCATAACTTTTGAACAGTAGATACTAGGACTGTAATATTTCACATGTCTTCTTTGTGGCAAGACCTTTCATTGGATACCAACAACTTTGATCTTGACCTTGGAAATGTCCATACTTATGAAAAAACTTTAACCTTGGCTATAACTTTTCAACGGTAATGACTAGGGCTTTCATACATCACATATGTAATCTTTGTAAGAAGATCTTTCATTGGATACTAAAAACTTTGACCTCGACCTTAGAGTTTGACCTAGTTTTCAAAAACTTTAACCCTGGCCACAACTTCTAAATGGTAGAAACTTGGACTTTCAAATTTCACACATGTATTCTTTTTGGCAAGACGTTTCATTTGATACCAGCAACTTTGATGTTTTGACCTTGACCTTGGAGATTTCTGTACTTATAAAAAAAAATTAACCTTGGCCATAACTTTTGAATGGTAAGGGCTAGAGCTTTCATACTTCACATATGTAATCCTTGTGAGAAGACCTTTCATTAGATACCTAAAACTTTGACCCATTGACCTTGACTTGGAGTTTAACCTATTTAAAAAAAAAAAAAACTTGACCATAACTTTTGAAGGGTTGGGGCTAAGGCTTTCATATTACATATTTAGTTCTTGTGACAGGACCTTTCATTGGATATAAAGAATGACCTTGACCTCGGAGTTTGACCTACTTTTAAAAATTTATCCTTGGCCATAACTTTTGAACAGATGGTGCTAGGGATTTTGTATTTCACAATTGAATTTCTTTTGAGAAGACCCTACTTTGGGTAATAATATATTTAATTTGCTTTTAAGAAGAATTTTATCTTCTCTATGTTGCCATACGGGGTCATCCATGTTTCACAAACAGATCTTGTTCCTTATATTGAGAAGAGATGGGGCTTTCATATTTGACATGTGCATTACGTATGACAAGATATTTCTGAGCATGCTATGATTTCTGACCCCTTGACCTTCACGATTGATATTGAAAAAAAAAAAATCAACTTCAGTGATAATTTCTAAATAATATATGATGGGGCGTTCATATTTGACACAATATGTCATAAAAAATGACATCTCACCCGTAAAAACACTGAAAGTGGGGGACCACAATTCTATGAATTTGCTTGTTCTACTCCATCTTCATCTCGGGAGATGATGGCAGCACCTGACCCAAAGACCATCTGAGAACAGACTTAACCCACAATACACATGTATTAAATTGGTATAACTTGATTGATTGTATATTGTTTAACGTGTATTGAAAAAGTACTATAACTTGAAAATTCTCAAGTTACAAGCAATGAACCCTCAACCAAAATTGATAAAGTAAAGATTTCCCCAGGTCCTGGGTTTAAACCCCAAGACAAGTTTTTCAGGGCAGACTTTTATCATTAGGCTATCCACACACAATGATAAAATGAGGTTCAATACTGGTAAGTGTATATTGTCAACGGTATCTTTCAGACTTGCTGGTAACATTTTCCATGGAATCTTGTAAATGTTTCTTCAAATTGCTCCCTAATGAAAAATAGAAAACAATTCTAGTATTGCATATTTTAATTAGAAAATCAATGTTCATCTCAAAACAATAAATAAGAGTCACGGTGCTATTTAATTTAATATCGTTCACTTTCTTCATCATCCAATGACGGCAGATAACCATATAACGCAGGGCTAACGATGATTTAAATGGTCAACGTTTGCAGTTTTTCGTTTAGAGCTAGCTGTGTTCTGGTCAGATTGGCAAGGTATACTACCATTAACAAGTCCTGAAAGAAATCAGAAAACATTTCATTAGAAACTGTCTCTACATCTATTAAGGTCAGCTCCTCTTTCGAGCATTCATTGTGCATTAGTTATTTACATTAAATTTTTCAAAATGCTATCTAGTGAAGGCAGTTGTTTTGTCAAGAAAGGTTGGATGGACAGGATTCGTCTTTCCATCTCTTTCCTGAAGTAATGGTGGTTTGTACAAGTATCACCTTTCACCAGCAACAGGTGACCATTCTTACCTTCATATTGGAGTTCAGCATGGTTTCAAATTCCTCGGGTTCTATTTTGGGGATGTTGTTAACAAGATCTAGTAGAAATCGTCCAATAGTTGTATCTGGTTGGATCTTATTAGCCTGAATGATTCAATAGGCAAAATTTAACAATATAAATAAGTTCGACAAGAATTTTCACACATTTTGGAATGGAACACCTTGCAGGAGTTTGTTCTCCTCAGAAATACTCTTGATATTCATCTTAGACCAACATATAGTTTTAGGTGAATAAATATTCATGTTACTTAGAGGATGTTTGCTGAATCTCTCGAAATAGAATTTATCAATAATTACTTTCAATGTTTCGCTCATTGCAAGTTGGCAAATTCAATAAAGACAAGATAATCAATTTAAATACAACTTTGTGTGGAAGTCTTTGACCAAAGGCAAAATAATTGGCAAGTGCCACAGAGTCAAAATTACATGAGTTGAAAATATTCTTGAATGTATACTACCGTATAATTGGAAATTTTAGCGAGACGCAAATTTAGCGATTTGTTCTTAAAAATTGGTATTTTATTTTTAGCGAGATGCAATTTTAGCGATTTTAAAAAGCTCACTAAAGAAGCTATTACAAATAAAGCGCAATTAATTTTTAGCTATATTGAATTTTAGCGATCTTGGTACCCTCGCTAATAATGCCAAAATTAAATACTCGCTAAAAATTCTGCTTAAACGGTACATTCAAAATTTGGTATCATTTTTTTGATGTGGTAGAATCAGAAAATCAAGAGAACTTTGTTCCACATCAAAAGAACTTTGTTCCACATCCATTGTACATTAAAATATTAAGAATTGGAGGCTTACCAGAACATCGTCCACGTAGTCTAGGACCAGTGTGAGTTTCTCCTGAAGTTTAGAGCACGCTCGCTCGACCTGGGTCAGATCACTCACCATACTGACAGTCCTCTTGGTATTATACTTCCCCTGCTGGATAAGGTCCACTGAAATAGAGGTGTCTAATGTATCAACATGTCAAAGCATCAGGTGAAAATGTATCTTCTTCATACTGTCAATTTTAATACTTTTCAGGACTTTGTTGCAAACATATTGAAGAATTTACAGAACAGGACTCAGAAAATACAGTTTCAAAGAATCTGGGAGAAAATATGGTTGATTTTTAAGAGAAATCCATCTAGACAGGGCCTGACTTTGAGAAGATGAATAAGTAATATAATTCTTTCATGTTTTTTCCAAAGTAAATTAGCATGAACAAAATTTAATGTCATACCTCCGACTTTTTCTGGCTCGTATGTGTTGACCTCGACCTGTACAGGTGTGAACATGCAGCCCATTGTCCTCCCAGGTACACCTATATTAGCACTAAACAAACACAAACAATCAAAAGATAATCCAAGACAGAAATCTGATTACTTTCAAACATTTCCTCTAATCTTAAATGTGTTTTGATGTAAGAATACCCAAGACATGGATATTCTTCCATTAAACTGTTCACTTCAGAAAAAATACAAACAAAATATCCTTGTGAAATATTGCCATTTACCTGACATAGCACTTGATGTCCATCTTGGATCCCTTCAATCCTGTGTCCACAGTTAAGTGGACGGGGGTCTTGGCTTCTCTGGTGTAGTATTCATGGATGAGAACTGAGTGTTCCGACACATCAGCGCCTGTGGAATACCTGTGTAGGCAAGTAAATGTTAAAACATTCTAGATATGATAAGCTAGTGGTAATAACAGTGTGGTAATTCTTGATTTATTGAGACGTATGAATTGTTGTTAAAATAACAGATTCATTATAAAAATAGGAAAGGGTTGGCATGTTTGAGCCAAAATGTCCATGAAACAGCATTTACACATTTTCTTGATTCAAAACATTGAAGTTTGTGAAGAAACTAGATTGGTCTACTTCTTTACATAATATATATATATATATATATATAT